CCTAAACCCTAAACCCTAAACCCTAAACCCTAAACCCTAAACCCTAAACCCTAAACCCTAAACCCTAAACCCTAAACAAAACCCTAAACCCTAAACCCTAAACCCTAAACCCTAAACCCTAAACCCTAAACCCTAAACCCTAAACCCTAAACCCTAAACCCTAAACCCTAAATCCAACCCTAAACCCTCAACCTTAGACCCTAAACCCTAAACCCTAAGCCCTACAACCTTCAGCCTATAGACCCCCGAGCCCCAGCTCCAAGTGAGCCCTGCGACCCAGCCAGTGGAGGTGAAAATCGTGCAGAGATACGTCCTGCAGCTCCTGGCAGGCCACGGGCGTTAGGTCGGTTTAGGGTTTCGGGTTTAGGGTTTGGGGTTTAGAGTTTAGGGTTTAGGGTTTAGGGTTTAGGGGGAGCTTTTGGCTGACAAAGATGGGAGTTGATGAGGGCTTCGGAGGCATCCTGGGGGCATCGCATGCGTTCGGAGCGCGATCATTCCCTTCTCGGTGTCAAAGTGCGCATCTGATTTTTGAGCGGGTTGGCCAAGCGCCCCCAAGCACAAAACCCTAAGGCCCTTGAGACCTAAGCTGTAAACCGCACCCGAAACCCTAAACCCTGCACCCTAAACCCTAAACCCTAAACCCTAAACCCTAAACCTTCAAAGCCACAACTCGGCAGTTGAAGACATGGCTCTGGAGCCTCGAGACATCGGCATCATCACCCCGTATGCCCGGCAGGCCTGCCTCTTAAACGGTGAAGGAGGTGTTTAGGATTAGGGTTTAGGGTTTAGGGTTTAGGGTTTAGGGTTCAGGGTTCAGGGGTTCAGGGTTCAGGGTTCAGGGTTTAGGGTTTAGGGTTTAGGGTAGGGGTTTAAGGGGTTTACAGGGTTTAAGTGGTTTAAGGGGTTTTAGGTGTTTTAGGGGCTCAAGGTCTTTAGCATTTCGGGTGTAGAGGGGTTTAAGGGGTTTAGGGGCGTTGAGGGGGTTGAGGTGTTTAAGGTGTTTAGGGTTTCGGGTTTAGTCGGTTGAAGGGGTTTAACAGGGTCGGTTATAGGGTTTAACGGTTTAGGGTTGAGGTTCTTGGGATAAATGGTTAAGGGTTTATGGTTTGGGGTTTGCGGTTCATGGTTGAGGGTTTAATGTGTCAGGATTTAGGGTTGAGATGCCTAGGGTTTGGAGGTTGCACGGGTCCGGGGATGTTGGTGCTTAGCGGTATTCAGGTTTTGGGGTTTAAGCATGTGTGGTCGAAAGAGCCCACCCCTGAAACTCTTGACCCAAACACCACAAGTCCCCAAAACACCTATATCCTCGGACTGAAAACGTTAAACCCGAAGCCCTACACCCTACACCCTACACCCTACACCCTACACCCTACACCCTACACCCTACACCCTAAACCCTAAACCCTAAACCCTAAACCCTAAACCCTAAACCCTAAACCCTAAACCCTAAACCCTAAACCCTAAACCCTAAACCCTAAACCCTAAACCCTAAACCCTCACCCCCGCCCAAGAGAGGTGCAAGTGTTGCAGCGCGAGTTCGAGGCTGCCGGCCTCCTCCTCAGCTAGGACAGGTCGGGTTCCAGGCTTTAGGGGTTCAGGGGTTTAGGGTTTAGGGTTTGGGGTTTAGGGTTGGGGGTTGTAGGTTTAGGGTTTAGGGTTTAGGGTTTAGGGTTTGGCCTCCGAGGTGGTTTTTCTTTGCGAAGATGTGCGGGCTCGGGCTTCGGGGTTCAGGGTTGAAGATCTCCTTACGTGCCCTCAGGGTTTAGGGTTTAGGGTTTAGGGTTTAGGGTTTAGGGTTTAGGGTTTAGGCCCCTGAGCTTCAGGTACTCGTACCTGGATTCAACTCCCAACCTTCAACCCCAGGCCCTCAAGCCCTCAACCCTAAACAATAAAACGTTTTGGTGGGCACGGGAAAGTAGCAAATTCTGTAAAATCCCAGAAATTATTATAACCTTCTTCAATTACAGTGGTGTCGTAGTTTTTGAGCCCCCCTCGACAGTAGGAGTTGGCTTGTTTTTCTCGAGCTGGCGGAGTTCTTAAGCGCGAGTAGATGTTCCCTTTATACTAGCAGTCCTTACTGGGGATTCTCGTACCCGGTCGTACCCCCTCCATCATGATCCCTAGTAAGGACTGTTAGTATAAGGCGGAACATCCCAAGTCCTACCACACGAAACCCTAAACCCTAAACCCTAAACCCTAAACCCTAAACCCTAAACCCTAAACCCTAAACCCTAAACCCTAAACCCTAAACCCTAAACCCTAAACCCTAAACCCTAAGCTTCCTAAATCCTAAACCCTAAAATCCAAAACCCTAAACCCCAAACCCAAAACCCAAAACCCTAAACCCTAAACCCTAAACCCTAAACCCTAAACCCTAAACCCTAAACCCTAAACCCTAAACCCTAAACCCTAAACCCTAAACCCTAAACCCTAAACCCTAGCCCTAGCACGCCCAAGGCCGAAACCTCTCGGAGATTGAAGTGGGTACCACGGAGCACTTCCAGGGCCAGGACTGAGAATGAAGTTGCTTGGAAGGCTTCGGGGTTTAGGGTATGGGGTTTAGGGTTTAGGGCTCGGGGTTTAGGGTTTAGGGTCTGGCGGTGCCGCACCCTGAGGTGAGATCTACAAGCCACGGCACCTTGTGTACTTAGAATACCCTTCTGCGAGCCTTACGCAACAAAAGTGCACATAATCTCCCTAAACCCCCCCAAACTTAAGCTCTAAACCCGAAACCCTAAACCTTAAGCCCCAGACCTACAAAAGGGCACTCGAGTAGCCAGGTGCAGCCAGAAAGGCTAGGGTTTCGGGTGGTTGCAGGCTTCATGCTTAGGGTTCAGGGCTTGCTTGTCTCAAATCCTAATTCCTAAACCCCAGTCCCAAAACCCGAAAGCCAAAGATTGTCCAGATTGTTTTTGTAGCAGAAGAAACCTTTCTCCCCAGAGGCTATCAAGGTCTCTGTTTGCGAAGGACAGCTCTGAAAGGTTTTTGCTTTACTTCCTTGCATAAAATCCCCTAAACTATACCAGACTAAACTCAACTGTAAACTTGACTAAGCCCTAGACCTTAGCCCCCATAGACCCTAAACCCTCAACCTTAAGCCCTCAACCCTAACCTTAAACCCTAAACCCTAAACCCGAAACCCGAAACCCGAAACCCTAAACCCTAAACCCTAAACCCTAAACCCTAAGCCCGAAGCCCTAAACCCTAAACCCTAGCCCTAAACCCGAAACCCTAGCCCTAAACCCTAAACTAGACGCATTGACCTCGCAGGAGCGCACCTTGATCATCCTCTCCTCTGTGCGCTCTGGCGCGCGACAGCAGGAGTGCTCTCCGATGGTTTAGGGTTTAGGGTTTAGGGTTTGGGGTTTAGGGTTTAGGGTTTAGGTTTTGGGGTGTAGGTTTTAGGCTTTAACTTGGGTTTAGGGTTTAGGGTTTGGTTGATGATGGGTTCTGCATCTGAGTGGTTCACCCGCAGGTTTCGAGCTTGGGGAGGTTCCGCATTTTGGGGACTGCTGGTTGGGGGCATTTGGGTCTTTAGGGTTTTCGGGGTTTAGGCTTAGGAAGCCCCCCAGCAGGCAAAAACAGCCGGGGCCCCCCCCCCCCCACCCCCCCTAAAAATCCCAAAGTCCACCCTGAAACTTGGGGTACCTTATTGGGGTCCTTCTTCTAGGAGGATCCTACCGTTCGGGGGATTACATTAGGGGCCCCTTATTTTTCGCAAGCCCCCATATCCCAACCCCGAAGCTCAAACCGCTAAAGCCCGAAGTCCTAAATCCCTGAACCCTGTGAGCGCTGGCGTGGAGGAGCTTGCGGCAGGCGCTGCTCTTCTCGTTTGTCTGGTTCAGAGGTGACGGGTGGTCTAGGGGCGTTCGCGGCATTCCGAAATCCCAAGCCCTAAGCCCTAAGCCCTAAGCCCTAAACCCTAAACCCTCAACCCTAAACCCTAAACCTTGAACCCTAAACCCTAAACCCTAAACCCTAAACCCTAAACCCTAAACCCTAAACCCTAAACCCTAAACCCTAAACCCTAAACCCTAAACCCTAAGCCCTAAGCCCTTAACCCTAAACCCTTGACCCTGGGCTTGCTAGGGACTGAGTAGCTGAGTGAGCACACTTTACACTTTTTGGGATGCTATAATCCCCGATAAAAAAGCTGAAAGTGTGCACTTATTAGGGTCTTTAAGAGCTCAGCAACTAGCTGGGCTTTGGAGTACTATACTTTAATGCATTTTTTGGTTTTGGGTTCCCATTGTAGCTACCTATACCCAAAAAGTATATACTTATTTTCCTGGGTCTACTCCAGAGGTCGGCTAAGGGGAGGATGTCGGAGCGGTGTTTGGGGGCTCTCGGGCTGAGAGTTAGGGCGATGAAGGGTTGAGGGTCTAGAGTTTGTGGGTTTAGGATATTTTTTAGGATTAGGGTTTAGGGTTTGGGGTTTAGGGTTTAGGGTTTAGGGTTTAGAGTTTCGGGTTCAGGGCCTCAGAGCTTTGTAGGGTTTAGCCTCTGGAGCTTGGATTCACCGTCGAGGCCGCGTGGTGCTTTGCCGGCAGCTTTCGCGCAGCAAGCATGCAGCGAGCTTGCAGCCCTCAGACCAAGCCACGCCATAGAGACACCACCCTAAACCCTAACCCTGAACCCTGAACCCAAAACCCTAAACCCTAAACCCCAAACCCTAACCCCTAAACCCTAAACCCCCAAACCATCCCCAAACCTCCTTGGAATAAGGGCAACCCAACCCCTAAACACAGGGACAATTAGTGAAGTAGTGCTTTGGGGCTGAAGCTTGGGGGGGTTGGGGGTGAACCAAGGCTAGCCAGGAGATCAGGGGTTAGGGTTCAGGGTGCACCAAGCCGCCGTGATTTTCGGAAAATTTTGGGGTTTGGGGTTGAGGGTTGAGGGTGTTGAAGTCTTAGCCCACACCCTACAGCCTATATACAGCCTAAACCCCAAACCCTGAAGCCTGAACCCTAAATACCGGGTTAAGCCGTCGAAGTGACGCCATGGGTGTTCAGAGCCACGACGGCTACGTGCGCCCGCGCGGTCATGCGGACTTGTCCGAATGTTCGGTTAGGGATTAGGGCTTAGGGTTTAGGGGAATTCGGGATTTCAAGTGTAGAGCGCAGAGGTATTGGAGTTGAGAGTTAGGGCTCGTGGTGTGAGGCATTCTGGTCAACCTAAGCCCTGAACCCTAAACCCTGAAAACCCTCGAGTTTCCAGAGGGTTCAAAACGGCCCAGAAAGTCTGAGCTTTAGGGTTTAGGGGGAAAATCTTAGGGTTTGCTTGGCCGATTTGGACGAACATCAGAAGGCTTACACACGAGGATAAAGGGTCTAAGGGACTCAGGGGCTTTTAGGGTTTCAGAGTTTAAGGGCCGCCCTGAGTCGAGGTTGAGGCTTGTATGGTGTGGGCTGTGCCGCAGGTCCCAGTAGATCCTCAAACGGACGTTGTGCCTGAAGTCGACATGATAAGAGGCCGGGGGGTTCAGGGGTTAGGGTTTAGGGTTTAGGGCCCTAAGCCCCAAGCCCCACATTGAGGTGGACATCAAGTACGACACGGAGGAGGCCGGATGACGAAACAAAGCCGCAACCAAGATCCTGGACGCTAAACATTAAAGCCCCAAACCGTAGGCCCTGAACCCTGAAAATCGAAAGCCCTGACGCCCTAAACCCTGAAACGTTGAAACCCTAAGCCCTTAGACGTCGAAACCCTAAACCCTAAACCCTAAACCCTAAACCCTAAACCCTAAACCCTAAACCCTAAACCCTAAACCCTAAACCCCAAACCCCAAACCCTAAACCCTAAACCCTAAACCCTAAACCCCTAAACCCTCAACCCGCAAGCTTTAGAAACCCAAGGCCCTTAAACCCCAAGCTGCTTACACTCCTCAAAGATCAGCCCCAGGCCCTAAACCCTCTGCCTTGAGGGCTTGGGGCTTACCCCAAACCCTAATTCCTAAACCCTAAACTAAGTGAGGGGTCGCTTCCGTCGAGCGACAGACCCCGAACGCTCGGCCGAGGGCCTTTCAGCCCGAGCGCCCAAGCGAAAAGAGAAACGGAAAAGGTGAGGGTTAAGCCTCACCGTCTGTCCTGGACAGGCCAACGGACATCGGCCTTTTTTACGACAACGTCAGTACTCGGCTAAGGGATTGGAATTCGTTTCAGTTTTGGGTTCAGGGTTTGCCGGGCCCCCCCCCCGGACCCCCCCCGGGCCCCCCCCCAGGGCCCCCCCCCAGACCCCCGTCCGGGCCCGGGCCCCCCATCGGACCCCCCCCCCCAAAAGGGCCCCCAGCCAAGGGCCTTCAGGGTTGGAGGAAGGCCCCCCGCGCCAAAGGGCCCCTGGCCAAGAGAAAAAGGTTTTTTTTTTTCAAACTGGAATGGATGGTTTTGCGCGCCCCTCCATTGTACACCAAAAGCGCCAGGAAAGCCCAGGAAGCCCCCAAGAGGCGCCAAGAGCCACCAAAAGGCTTCAAAAGCTTAAAAGGCCCCCTAAGAGAAGGGGGACCACAAGATTTGTCCGTGCCCGCAATGAAAAATGCGATTTTTGAGTATTGAAGATGATTTTAGGCACCCCTGCCCGCAATGAAAAATGTTATTTTTTAGGACTGAACTCGATGGTTTTGGGCACGGACCAGGAAAGCCCAGGAACCCTCAAATCAGCAAGGGCCTCTACGGGCCCTGACGTGCCCAAGGCCCGAAAAGGGCCGAGTACCCCGAACCCCAGCTTAAACCCTAACACCGCAAAACCCTGCGAAGGCCTTCAGGCAAATAAGGGCCTCTACGGGCCCTAACGTGCCGAAGGCCCGAAAAGGGCCGAGGCTACCCCGAACCCCAGCTTAAACTCTAGCGATTGAAATACGCATTGGCGAAAAAAGCTAATAGGTTCCCTGACCTTCAAATGAATAAAGCCTCTACGGCCCCTGACACGCCGAAGGTCCGAACAGGGCGAGAGACCCCAAGAGCCACCAAAAGGCTTCAAAAGGCTTCAAAAGGCCCCTAAAAGAAGGGGACCCCAGGATGCCCGTACCCGCAATGAAAACTGCGATTTTTTGGTACTGAAATCGATGGTTTTGGGCACCCCTTCATTTTACCCCGGAAGGGCCAGGAAAGCCCCCAGGAAGCCCCCAAAAGGCCCCCAGAGCCACCAAAAGGCCTGAGGACCTTAAAGAAGGGGAATCCAGGAGCAGGCACAAAGGGTTTCCCTGACCTTCAAAGAAATGAGGGCCTCTACGGGCCCTGACACGCCGCAGGCCCGAAAAGGGCCGAGGCTACCCCCAACCCCAGCTTAAACCCTAACAGCGCAACTTTAAAAACATCAAAGCAAGCATCAGGGCACAAGAAAATAAATTCCATAAACCCTAAACCCTAATAGAGTATAGTTTGGGTGGCCGGGGTGGGTTGACGGGCAACGCGAGCGCGCGGCCCGGGGTGTTTCACACCCGAGCGCGCGCCCTCCCCTGACACACCCTAAACCCTAAACCCTAAACCCCAAACCCTGAACCCTGAACCCTGAACCCTGAACCCTGAACCCTGAACCCTGAACCCTGAACCCTAAACCCTAAACCCTGAGCCCTAAGCCCTAAACCCTAAACCTCAGGGTCCATAAGTCGCCTAGCAGCCTATTCTTGAGGACCATGAACCCTAGACCCTAGACTCTAGACCCTAGACCCTAGACCCTAGACCCTAGACCCTAAACCCTAAACCCTAAACCCTAAACCCTAAACCCTAGACCCTAAACCCGAAAACCCGAAGACCCTAAAACCTAAAGCCGGAAGGCGGCGCCCTTGGCGTCGATCTCCAAGGCGGGGGGGCTTGAGCATCCAAAAACCCTAGACCCTAGACCCTAAACCCTGAAACCCTGAAACCCTGAAACCCTAAACCCTAAACCCTAAACCCTAAACCCTAAACCCGAAACCCTAAACCCTAAACCCTAAACCCCCCAAAGGGCCATGTAGGGAAGCCCCCGCAAGGTGGCGCACGAGGGCGACAACTGCGCCATCGCCACCCGCCGCCTGGAAGCGGGATTCCAGTTCAGCCACCGAGGCCGTGGCTAGGGTTTAGGGTTTAGGGTTTAGGGTTTAGGGTTTAGGGTTGAGGGTTTAGGGTTTAGGGTTTAGGGTTTAGGGTTTAGGGTTTTGTGTTTAAGGCTTCGGGGCTTTGTCTTATGGATTGGGGCTTTGGGACGATTAGGGATTGCGGCTTTGGTGTCCCGGGCTTGGGTCTTTTTGGGGGTTCAGGGTTTAGGGGGTTTTGTGTTTGTTTACGCGGCTAAGAGGGTTTTCGGCTTGAAGCCCGAAATTCCAACGCTTAACCCTGCTTTCTTGGCACGCAGTTGGGCCTGTTGAGCGCATCCAGGTTTCCAAAAAAGCCGCCTCTACACCCTAAACCTTAAGCCCGACACCCTCGAAAACCGGGGCCCTAAAACCCCAAGCCCCAAAACCCCACAATCTTAAATCTCAAGCCCCAAACTCTCTCCCTCGAAATTCCCCCGGGAGGCCGGACGTACCGGCTCTCTCACACCATCCTGGAAGGGCACCGCTTCGTCATCGACGAGATTGCGGAAGGCGGCCACACTGCTGGGGTGGGATTTAGGGACTGTCGGGGTGTGAGGGTGCGGTTCCCCTGCTGCCCCTCTCTAAACTACCCCCCATAGTTGAGGCTATTTCGGGATAGTTAACGGAATCCTTGGTTGGGGTTTTAGCGTGAAGGTTTGGGGCTTGAGGGTTTAGGGGCTTGAGGGCTTGTGGCCAAGGGTTTAGGGTTTGGGCTTACAAATGGCGCTTTTTGAGGGCCTGCTCCACGCGTTTTAGGGCTCACGGAACGCCAGTCTTGATCAACGTCCCATACTGAACCCTAAACCCTAAACCCTAAACCCTAAACCCTAAACCCTAAACCCTAAACCCTAAACCCTAAACCCTAGACCCTAGACCCTAGACCCTAGACCCTAAACCCTAAACCCTAAACCCTAAACCCTAAACCCTAAACCCTAAACCCCAAACCCTAAACCCTAAACCCTAAACCGGACCTTGCAAGGCCAGCTGCTCATGAGCTGGTCACTGCCTTTCGGCACGGCGCTTCGGCCCCTAGCACCGGGCTCCTACTGCTGCAACGCGCTGATGCTGCAGGTAGGGCGGTGGGCTTCGGGGCTTGGGTCGGGGAAATCGGCATTCAGTGACTTAGGGATTTGGGCACCCTCAGCCCTAAACCCTAAACCCTAAACCCTAAACCCTAAACCCCAAACCCTAAACCCCAAACCCCTAAACCCTAACCCCCCAAAAGCATACCCTCTGGGAGGCGCTTTCAGGGAGGAGGGACGTGGACTTCCCGCTTCCCGCAGAGGCGACGCCTGGATTGAAGATTTGGGAGCTGCGACTCAGGGGCTTGGGGTTTAGGGTTTAAGGTTTAGGGTTTAGGGTTAAGGGCGAGGGTTTAAGGTTTAGGGTTTAGGGTTTAAGGTTTAGGGCTAGGGTTTAAGGTTTGGGGTTTTGGATTTGGGGTGGAGGGTTTAGGGTGTTACCCTAAGCCCCCAACGCCCTTCGCACACACCCCCCCCCCCCCCACCAAAAAAAGAACGGGAGCCCTGAACCCCGAAATTCCAAGCCCCGAAACTCCAAGCCCCTAAAGCCTCAAGCCCTAACCTAAACCCTAAACCCTAAACCCTAAACCCTAAACCCTAAACCCTAAACCCTAAACCCTAAACCCGATAACCCCCCCAGCCACCAAGGCTCCAACCCTCGAATTCTGAGGCCCTCGAGCTTCCTTTTTAGGGGTTTAGGGTGCTAGGGTGTTGGGGTGTTGGGGTGTTGGGGTGTTGGGGTTTAGGGTTTAGGGTTTAGGGTTTAGGGTTTAGGGTTTAGGGTTTAGGGTTTAGGGTTTAGGGTTTAGGGTTCAGGGTTTAGGGCTACCCAAAACCCAAAGCCCAAAACCCTCTCTGGGCCTGCAAGGAACTTCGTGGATCCTGACACCTCCGCTTCGCACTTTGCCTGTGCGATCTGGGGCGCGGCAAGGGTTTGGGGTTTGGGGTGTGGGGTTTAGGGTTTAGGGTTTGGGGTTTGGGGTTTCGGGTTTGGGGTTTAGGGTTTGGGGTTTGGGGTTTGGGGTTTGGGGTTTAGGGCTCAGGTTGTTTTACGAGGGTTTTGGGTTTTAATGGGGTTGTCAGGCTCTTTGGGGGATCTTTAGGGTCATTTTGGCTCTGGAGCTTTTAAGGGGGACTTTACAGTTTAGGGCTTTCGGTCTATCCGAGTGTAGGGTTTTAGGGTCTAGGGCTTTGGGGTCTAGGGTAGAGTTGTCAGGTTTGGGGGCTTGAGGGATACTCGTCTCGTGTAGAGGCTTGTGATTTCGGGCATGTTTGAGGGTTTGAGGGCTTTGGGGTCTTCTGGGTTGTTTTGGGGCGTCCTGTACTACTAATAGTATTCCCTTGTGGTTCCTTTATCGTTATACTAGTTATGCTATAGTCCCCCCCAAAACCCAATTCTCATTGTTTAGGCCCCTTTCGTAGGGTGTTAGGGGTGTCAGGTCTGCAGCAGCCTTCAGAGAGTTTCCGGCTTTGGGGCTCGCTAGGGGTTTGGGTTCGCCTTGCAGAAGTTGGCGCGTGGCGCCTCTCTTTGCAAACCCTAAACTTGGGATGTTCCCCACAGTCCTTAATAGCGGTTATAGTAGGCGGGGTACGAGCCCGAAATCCTAAACCCTAAACCCTAAACCCTAAACCCTAAACCCTAAACCCTAAACCCTAAACCCTAAACCCTAAACCCTAAACCCTAAACCCTAAACCCCTATACAGTACCCTTCAAACCCTAAGGTGCCCTTTCGTCTTCGATGAGAGCACTTTTGTGCCCGGTAAGGAGGCTCCCCAAAATTTGGGGCTAAGGGTGCGGGAAGTGGAGCTTGGGGAAGCAGGGTTTGGGTTTAGGGTTTAGGGTTTAGGGTTTAGGGTTCAGGGTTTAGGGTTTAGGGTTTAGGGTTTAGGGTTTAGGGTTCAGGGTTTAGGGTTTAGGGTTTAGGGTTTAGGGTTTAGGGTTTAGGGTCAAGGGCTTTCCAGGCGGGCTTTCGGGGTGTTCAGCAACTCGGGGTTCTTTAGCTCTCTGGTTCTTCATCGGGATGTTTTGGGGGATGATTCTTGCTTTTGGTAGGGTTTAGGGTTTAGGGTTTAGGGTTTAGGGTTTAGGGTTTAGGGTTTAGGGTTTAGGGTTTAGGGTTTAGGCAGGAGTTGTTGAAAGCAGGTTTCTTGGGGCTCTCCTGGCTGGCCACTTTGCTACTGGCGTTATGATGCAGAGGCTGTTGAAAGCCTGTATCTTTCAGCCTGGTAACAACATCCGGAAGCCCTCGTCCCCAAGCCCCAAGCCCCAAGCCCCTAAACCCTAATCCCTAAACTCTAGCCCTAAACCCTAAACCCCAAACCCTAACCCTAAACCCTAAACCCTAAACCCTAAACCCTGAACCCCAAACCCTAAACCCTAAACCCCAAACCCTAAACCCTAAACCCTAAACCCCAAACCCTAAACCCTAAACCCTAAACCCCAAACCCTAAGCCCTAAACCCTAAACCCCAAACCCCAAACGCTAGCGTTTAGGATTCCATTCGTGGAGCACAGGCGGCCTCGACGCCCGGAGGCTTGGAGACCACCTTCCAGGGCTTCGCCAGGAACGCGACGTGGTTTTCCGGGGGTTTAGGGTTTAGGGTTTTGGGTTTAGGGTTTATGCGGTTTGGAGGGTTTAGAGGGTTTTAGGGGGTCTAGAGGGTTTAGAGGGTTTAGGGGGTTTAGGGTTGAGGGCCTCTAGGGTTTAGGGCCTCTAGGGTTTAGGCCCTTGAGGGTTCAAGGTTTAGGGCCTTCAGGGTTTAGTTCGGGGCTGTGGTGGTTTACGTGGACTCTTAGGGCTCTAGGAAGGCAGACTCTAAGCGCGGATGTGCTGCGTGTACGATGTCAGGTGCCACGCACAGTCTGGACGCCGTTCTGCACATCCCCTGCGCTGGGTGCATCGTTGATGGCAACTACTGGCCGCGAGCCATTCGCATATGTCAGGATATGAATGACATGGCGGTCCTGGAAGGAGATCTGCGAGATGTTGCTGCCGACAGGCTCTATAATATGTCTCTGGCCAGCGATCCGCTCCTGTGCAGACCTTGAGACGCCTGAGCGACGTTTGCTGAAGGTCATGCTCTGCGAAAACATTGAGACAGTCTATTCAGCTATTCAGGGTTTAAGGTTTGCTAGGGGGGATCTGGAACGTTCCTCAAAGCCTGAGCGAACTACGATGTGCCTGTGCATCCTCAAGAGACCCTGCGTGAGCACACAATGCGGGAGCTCAACAATTACCTATAAAATCGCATCCCCTTGTAGTACTTCCTGTATCCTTGTATGGCGATGATACAAGCAATGCCAAAGCGCCATTCCAATGAAGGCCCCTAATAGAAGAGACCTCTAAAACCCTAAAAGCCCTTGAGAACCCACCTCTTGCCCCTGAAGTGGGTTTGGGGTTTAGGGTTTCGGGAAGCCTTCCACCTCGGGCCCTCACGCACGCCTTCGACTTTTGTTAATGAAGGGTTTGGGGTTTGGGGTTTATGTCAAGTTGGTCCATGCCTGATGGGCTTTAGGGGCTTTAGGGATTTCAGGATTTAAGGCGTCAAGGTCGAGTTGGACAGAGCTAGGAGATCTGGGTGGTTCAAGATTCTGGGATGGGCCAGGGTTCAGGGTTTAGGGTTAGGATTTAGGGTTTAGGATTTTGGGTTTAGGAGTTAGGGTTTAGGATTTAGGGTTTAGGATATAGGGTTTAGTGGGGGCTTGGGGCCGGAGTTTTTGGGGGGTAGTGGGGCTGGCTTGACCCTTGGGATGTTCCCCCTTATACTAACAGTCTTTAATAGGGATGAGAGTACCCCCGATTATAATCCTTATTCGGGACTGTTAGTATAAGGGGGATCCCCAGCTTAACCCCTTCAATCCTGACTTCCCTAAATTCCCTCTTCGCCCCTGAAACCCCGAACCCTCAGCCCTACAGCCTAGAAAAATTGAACCCTAAACTTTCCTAAGCCCTAAACCCTAAACTCTAAACCCTAAACCCTAAACCCTAAACCCTAAACCCGAAACCCCTAAACCCCTAAACCCCTAAACCCCTAAACCCTAAACCCCAAAACCCCAAACCCCAAACCCCAAACCCCAAACCCCAAACCCCAAACCCCAAACCCCTGAGCCGGCTGAACCTTTCAGCCGTCTTCAGGAGTGGCGGCCGTGGGGTGGGGACCCGCAACAAGGTGGGACTTAGGGGGGGCGAGGGCTTACAGGGCTTTTTAGGGCGATTTCGGGCTGCATAGAGCTTCATGGGACTTGAGAGGGCTTCATAGGGCTTGATAGGGCTAAGAGCCTCCTCCCCGCCGTCAGGTGGTGCTGGTGGGCCTGACCGTGGCTTCCGCGAGCTTCGCATCTCCCGCTGCATGTTGAGCTCCATGCAGTAGTGGTTGAGCCGCCTAATCCCTCAACTCTGAAGCCTCAACCCTGTGCCCTAAACCCTGTACCCTAGACCCTAGACCCTAAACCCGAAACCCTAAACCCTAAACCCTAAACCCTTAAGGTCAGACAGCTCGAGCGATGCCTGGAGCACGATGGGGCAGAGAGCGTCGACGGCATCGTCGCAGTGGCGCACAACGAGGGCCGGCGCCCCGGGAAGTTGAGGTTCAGGGTTCAGGGTTCAGGGTTTAGGGTAGGGGGTTTCGTAGCGTTATACAGGAATTGAGAGGGTTGATAAAGTTTAGAGTTCAGGGGCGTTTGTAGGGTTTTTTGGGTGATTGGGTGTTATAGGGGTTTTAGGTTTTACAGGGTTCATAAGTATTTTCGCGTTTAGGGTTTCGGTCTTACGGTCGTTTCAGTGTTCTTACTATGTTCCCTTACCTTTTCTAAAGGGTTCTGGAGGATAGAAAGGCTACATAAGGGTTCCCCATTTAAGGACTCATACTAAGGGACCATGCAAGTACCCTTAGCTTAGGGTTTAGGGGGGGGGGTTTATAGGGTTTGCAGGATATAGGGATAGAGTTTCGGGTTCAGGTTTTGAGGGGGTTTGTAGAGTGCTCTTGAGGTGTAGGCGCCGCATCTCCTGACTTTGGAAAGCCCTAAACCCTAAACCCTAAACCCTAAACCCTAAACCCTAAACCCTAAACCCTAAACCCTAAACCCTAAACCCTAGACCCTAGACCCTAGACCCTAAACCCGAGAATCTAGACCTGAGGAGAGGGTGAGGTGCAGAACAACAAGGACCTCCTTCTCCGCACCCTGGCAGGGCTTCTCGGCCGACATGCTTTCGGGGGCCCAAAGTATGGTTCAAGTATGGTTAAAGGTAGGGTTTAGGGTTTAGGGGTTAGGGTTTAGGGTTTAGGGTTTAGGGTTTAGGGCTTAGGGGTTTTGTGGTTCGGGGTTAAGGGTGTGGGTGTTGTGCACAATTTCGTGGGCATTGTGTCCAAATTCGTGGGCATTGTGCGAAGTTGTTCGTGGGCGTTGTGCAAAATGGTTCATGGGCACTGTGCAACATTTTTCGCGGAGAACATTATTTTTGCTTATTGGTCCGCCAGCGAAGGACCTATTGGGTCTTGGGCTTTGGGGCTTGCGGTTCAACATCTCAAGTCAAAGCATGCAATAGTCAGGCAGCTTGTCAAGCGACGGGGACGTACCCACCCGACCATTGGGTCCCGCAACATTCGGAAACTACGTCACGCTACATCGAACTCCTCAAGCCAGCTTACATCATTTTCAAACAGGCCTAAGCAGGTAAGGCCCAGTAGGCCCTAAACCCGGTAAAGTTAAGGAGAGCTGTCCTGAAAGGTTCTTGGTCCACCCCAACACTGGCGCAGCACTGCTGGTCGCGACAGGCAGGTCTCGGGAGGTTGCGGCGGTTGATGTCAGGGCTTCTGGATTTGGGGCTTCCTAGGACCGGGAGTAGGCCCTTCTTTATTTTTTTTAGGGTTGGGGTTCCCTTATATTCACCTTAAAGCCAAAAAGCGTACCCTTTTTTATTCCTAGGATACTCCCGGGTCTAGCTTCAGAGTGCGGGCGCTGAGCCCCCAGGCTTAAGGTGTTCCTCGCTACTGGTTGCAGTCTTCAGTTAGACTTGTGAGAAGTGGCCATCCGATGTATGGCTGCTGATTGTGTTAGCTCCCACACCCTGAGCCCTGAGCACTGAGCACTGAGCACTGAGCCCTGAGCCCTTCACCCTAAACCCTAAACCCTAAACCCGAAACCCTAAACCCGAAACCCTAAACCCTAAACCCTAAACCCTAAACTCTAAATCAGGGCCCATTCCGTTCCCCGCAGGCCGCGAGCGCCACGTGACGGTGGAGGAGTTGAAAGACTTCATGGCCAGGGAGAAGCACCAAGGGCCGCAGGGAGTTGAGGGCTGAGTATGTTAAGTGTAAGGGTTTTAGGGTTTGGGGTTTAGGGTTTAGGGTTTTGGGGTTTGGGGTTTTAGGGTTTCGGGTTTTTTTGGTTTTGGGGGTTTCGGGTTTGGGGGTTTAGGGTTTTGGGGGGTCTATAGGTTGAGGGGTCACTTTGGACTCTGTGCTTCATGCGTGGCGGGCGCTTGAGAAGTGCGCTGGAGCCCAAGCCCTGAACCCTGAGTTCCATTTTGATGCAGGGTTTACTTGGTGAATGTACATAAGCTTCCTTTTTAATATTGGCGAGCGTATATACTGGGTGTCCTTTTAGGGATGCAAGAAATATAAACCCTACTCCATATCCGGATCATGTCGCTGTTGACTGTGCATTCTTGTGTGCGGTTACCGCCTCAGGGCATCTAACTTGTTATCACCTCTTTTGCGCTGTAATTCGGCGTGCTCATTCTGGAATCGTCTTCGACGTGAGTAAGTTAGGCTGACCCCTAATACGCGTGTGCGGCATTGAGTGGGGAGGGTGCAGGGATCTCTTGCGGCCGAGGTATCCGACTGCGCATGTGCCGCCACGGGCTCAGTCCTACTTCATAGGTGGGCAAGGTTCGAGGTGTTTGGAGCGGAAGGGGGGGGGGAAAGAAGAGCGAAATAGCCAACAGCCTCCACCATCCCCAAAACCAAACACAAACAGCTCCAAGAAGTTCAGTTGCCTGCTCTACATAACGTCACCTCCTCCTATCTAGACATGTGTGTACATCTACATATATGCACCCGGTTCTGTGTCCCAAGGACCTGCAGCAGCTCCAAGAGTTACCGTTGTTCTGAGCCAAGAAGAAAGTGGGGCCTTGGGGGGATCACGGCGCATTCCCGGAAAGCCACGCAAGCGCGTCTTGCGCGTTGGGACCTGGAAGAACCAGAGCCGAGGTGGAACACGCAAACGAGTGCGTCGGGTGCGGAAGCGTCTGCTATGTGTGAAAGTTTGGAAGGAAACCACACAAAGGAAGATCCCCTAAACTATGAAAGCCCTGAACCATGACAGCAGTGGATGGAAGGCTTTCCAAAACTCGCTTGGGACCCATATTTTCGGCGCTGAGGCTAAAGCCTAAAGCCCGAATGAGGCCCTTGATTTGAGTCCCTAAACCCTAAGCTCCAAACTCTAAACCCCAAACCCTGAACCCTAAACCCTAGGCCCCAAACTCCAAACCCCAAACCCCAAACCCCTAACCCTAAACCCTAAACCCTAAACCCTAATCCTTAAACCCTAAACCCTAAACCCCCTAAGGCATGAGCATCTCGTGCTCAGCGGCAGCTGGCGCGCGGACCTCGTGCGGGCGGCCGAGGTTGTTCGCAGCTCCCTGCTACCCGCCGCGGCCGAGGACCCCGCCGCAAGAGGAGTTAGGGATTAGGGCTCAGGATTGAGGGATTAGTGTTTGGGATGTTCTGGTTTAGGGTTTAGGGTTTAGGGTTTAGGGTGATAGGGTTTAGGGTTTAGGGTTGAGGGTTGAGGGTTGAGGGTTGAGGGTTGAGGGTTGAGGGTTTAGGGTGATGGGTGATGGGTGATGGGTGATGGGAGGTTTAGGGTTTAGGGTTTAGGTTTTGCGCTCCCAAAACCCCAAACCCAAACCCCCGTGCCACTGCCAACCCTGAACAAAGCGGGCGGCTTCCGGCCAGCTCCCCCTTGTTGATCCGGATTCACTATCCCTGCCACCAACACCAGCTGAACCCTATGCACCCTTAAAATTTCCATAAACTCTACACACACACACACACCATAAACCCTAAACTCGGTAGGCTCTAAGGACCAACCCTATATCCGAAACACTGTGAACGATATTCCTTGAACTCCATAAACGCTCTAAACCTTAAGCCTGGTTACCTCAAGCCCGCCACTGAAGCGCAGTACCGCCGCAGCGCGCAGCCCGTGTCGGCGCTCAGGATCGCGCTGCAGTGCCTGAGCCTCGGGGTTTGGGGCTTAGGGTTCAGGGTTTGGGGTGTAGGGCTTTACAGTCGAACCCCGAAGACAGAACATGTTTCCTGTGTTGCATGCAATCACTGGGGCAACAGGAAACAACAAGTCGTAGCGTTCATCGGTCACATAGGGGATTTGCATGTTCTAGTAGACATGTGACTAGATGCAATTTGCTGGCTCTCCTTCGCCTGAAAGCGATTTTGAGGAATCGGACCTTAAACTCTAAACCCTTTACTTGGCTGCGAGGTTCAGAGCTTAGGGTGCACCCTTGCAGGACCCCAAGATGTTGCCGAAACAGACAGAATCAGTAGACAGTCACGAATCGCACGTTGGGGCAGCGCCAGCCGTATCGCCGTGGTCTCGGCGTGGTATCTTCGTGGTATCGCCGCACATAGTCCCCGCGGCCCGCAGCTCCCAAACCCGTAAGCCCTCATCCCTAAACGTGGAGCCCGCAAGGTTGCATGTACCAGCAAGAAGCTGCAAAATGCAGATGAAAGACAAACGCTAACAAACAATGCGATTACTGTGTCGCCAGCGGTTCATGGGGGGGAAAGCGAAATGTGCTGATAACGTGCAGTTCCTTGGGAAAAGGTTCCCCCACTCCAATTGTTATGACTTCAGGGTTTGACTGGAGGGTTGAAAAGACTAGTGTTTAGGGTTAGGGGTTTAGGGTTTAGGGTTTCGGGTTTAAGGTTAAGAGCCCCTAGAACCTCTACGAACCCCATAGACCTTACCAGCCCTGTAAATTCAAGGCGAATAAACCCCATCATTTCTGTAAACTCGAGAGCCCCTCTATGCCTCTCGTGCCTACGCCGTTTTGAAACGCCTATGAGTCCCAGATGCCCTATGAATCTTATAAACCCCTTCAGGCGCTGTCATAGCGTTCAAGGCCCTGTAACCCTATAACCCCTACAAGCCCTGTAAGTCCGATCTGTTCACCCCCTCAGATGCCCTGGTGCCCCTGAAGAGCGCAGCTCTTTAGGCTAACCCTGTTTGGGCTTTAAGGTGTACAAGGGTTTAAGGTCCAGAGTTCAGAGTTTAGGGCAAACCCTAAACCCTAGCCCTAAACCCTAAACCCTTAACCCTATAAACCCCAAACCCCCAACCCCTTTTTCAACCCAAAAGGTGGCGGCTCGGATGCCTTTAGCGGCCTAACTGGCAACCCTCTGGTGGGCGAGGTGTCCAAGCTTCTCATCGGCGAAGGCGTTTAGGGTTTAGGGTTAGGGTTTAGGGTTTAGGGTTTAGGGTTTAGGATGTAGGGTTTAGCGTTTAGGGTTTAGGGTTTAGGGCTTAGGACCCAGCTCTCGAGAGTCCGCTCTACAGCACTCAACCCTTCAGTAGCGAAAAGCCCTGGGCCCCTCCAAAAGCCTTTACTACTTTACTACCCTCGAAACCCTAAACCCAAACCCTAAACCCAAGCCCTAAACCCCAAACCCCAAACCCAAACCCCATACCCTAACCCCGCCCCCCCCCCCCCCCCCCCCCCCACAAAAAAAAAGGAAAGAAGCCAAAAAAAGTAAGAAGAAAAAACAAGACTAAACAAAAAAGAAAGCTCCTCCCATGAAGGGGGCCTCGCCCTCCTCGCGGAGTCCCCTGAGCTCGTCGGAGCCGAGCCCTACGTGCCACCCGGCGCTTGGGGGGGTTTGCGGTGGGGTTAGGGGGTTTTTTAGGGTTTAGGGTTTAGGGTTTAGGGTTTAGGGTCTAGGGTTTAGGAGGTTTAGGGTTTAGGGTTTTGGGTTTAGGTGTAGGTGTGTGTGTGTGTGTGTGTTGTAGCGGATGTTGGGGTTTTGGGGTTTATGTATATTTTGTATTTTGTTTTTTTGGAGGTTTTATGGGGGGTGTTAGGGGGTGTTTAGGAGGGCTTCGGGGGTTTTGGGGTTTGGGGATTTAGGGTTCTTGAGGTCCGCTGAATCGCTGAACCCGAACCCCCCCCTCCCGCCCGAACCCCTCAACCCTAAACCGCAAGCCCCTAAACCTCAGACCCTAAACCGTAAACCCCAAACCCCTAAACCCCCAAACCCCCTAAACCCTTAAACTTGGGATGTTCCCCCTTATACAAACAGTCCTTAATAGGGATTCTAGTACCCCTACTATACTCCCCATTCATGACTGTTAGTACCATCCCAACCCTAAACCCGGAAACCCTGATCTGTAGTTGAGAAACCTCAGATCTTAAACCCTAAACCGCAAACCCTAAACCCCTAAACCCCTAAACCCCTAAACCCCTAAACCCCTAAACCCCTAACCCCCTCAACCCCTAAACCCCTAAACCCCTAAACCCCTAAACCCCTAAACCCCTAAACCCCTAAACCCCCTAAACCCCTAAACACCTAAACCCCCTAAACCCCTAAACCCCTAAACCCCTAAACCCCTAAACCCCTAAACCCCTAAACCCCTAAACCCCTAAACCCCCAAACCCCTAAAGTCCCCAAATCCCCAAACTCTGATCTGTGGTTGAGAGAGCAGTCAGGCTCTCGAACTGCCGTAGCCTCGAGACGGCGCGGAAGTTTCTGATGATGCCCCCTGGCTTCCAGTAGCCGAGGTGTAAAATCAGGGCTTAGTACCCGAAACCCTAAACCCTAAACCCTAAACCCTAAACCCTAAACCCTAAGCCCTAAGCCCTAAACCCTAAACCCTAAACCCTAAACCCTGAAGTTCCAACAGAACCTGCTTGCTTCATCCGCCGGGGTTGCTGAGGACAGAGCGCTACAAGAGGTACCTTGGCCGCCGTCCTTGCCAGCGGACTGCGTTGCTCTGGGTTAGGGTTTGGGGTTTCGGGTTAAGGGTTTAGGGTGTTGGGTTAGGGTTCAGTTCTTGAATCCCTATACACCCTTGCCTCAAACCCTACACCCTAAACCCTAAACCCTAGACCCTAAACCCTAAACCCCAAACCCGAAACCCCAAACCCCAAACCCTAAACCCTAAACCCTAAACCCTAAGATCCCTTCGCCGAAGGTACGCCTCGCGCCACGGACAGGATGCGGCAGGGAACCCCTCAGGTGGCAACCTCTTCCGCGGACTCTACAACATCGTGTGCCCTTGGCTTCAGAGGGTTTAGGGTTTAGGGTTTAGGGTTTAGGGTTTAGGGTTTCGGGTTTAGGGTTTAGGGTTTAGGGTTTAGGGTTTAGGGTTCGGAGCTGGAGGTATAGCTTGGGGTTTAGGCTTGAGGGCTTGCAGGTTTAGGGCTTTTAGGGGTTAAGAGTGGTGGCATTCAAGGATCAAGAGCCTGGGCGCCTCGCGCAAGAAGCCGCCGGACGTCATGCTGGACGAGTGCATTGAGTACAGCGAGCGTGTGGCAGACCGATCAGGTTGGGTCGGGGAGGTTTCTATTTGTTTGAGATCGGTTGAGAAAGAGCCGAACCCTTAAACCCTGACCCTAAATCCTAAGCCCTGAAGCGTAAAGCCCAAACCCGAAGCCCTTTGTAAACCCGAAGCCCTAAACCCTAAACCCGAAACCCTAAACCCTAAACCCTAAACCCAAGCCCCAAAGCCCCCAATTTCAGAGGACGCACAGAAAGCCATCGGAGGGGACCGGGCACAGACTCGGAAGTCCCTGGGTTCTGCGGGTTAGGGTTTAGGGTTTAGGGTTTAGGGTCTAGGGTTTAGGGTTTAGGGTTTAGGGTTTAGGGTTTAGGGTTTAGGGTTTAGGGCTTAGGGTTTAGGGTTTAGGGTTTAGGGAAATTTTGGGGTTCGGTGTCTGGTCCCGAAACCCCGAACATGAACCTAGGAATGGCAGGATGCAAGAGCCTAAGCCATAAACCCTAGGGTTTAGGGTTTAGGGTTTAGGGTTTAGGGTTTAAAACCGAAACCCTCAACCCTGAACCCTGAACGCAGCCCTCAACACAGTGCCCCCGTGCTGCGTCCTTACCTAGGGTTCAGGGCTTAGGGTTCAGGGTTTGAGACCTATCTTGTTGCAGCCTATCTCTCATGGGTACGACAACAGGGGACCCATCATCGAAGTCCAACGTCCCCTTTGGCAAGTTGTTCTTGATAGCCCGTTTAGAGCCTACCCGAAACCCCGAAACCCCTAAGCCCCTAAACCCTAAACCCCCGAAACCCTTAAACCCTCAACTTCTAAACTCCTTAACCCCTTCCCCCTGAGTGGCAGGCTACTTCTTCATGGACTCCCCCGGCAACGACCTCGAGTCGATCGCTGGGCAGGTGGGGAGGGTTTAGGATGTTGGGCCTACCCTTAAGCCCTCGCAAGCTCTAAATCCTTAAGCCCCCCTCCACCTGAGTTGCCGTGAGGTGGCTGTGATGACGAAGTTCCCATGTTAAGGAATCCCTTCCGAAGTAACCCCAACTCCTACAACCCTACAATCCTGCAGGCCTAAACCCGAAACCCTGAAACCCTAAACCCCAAACCACCCCAAAGACAGATGTTCCATGGCTTGTCTCCGAGGTGGCCAGCGGCTGCAACTTGATCTTCTTCGTCACGGGCAATGGCGTCACTTGAGTTGCATCAGTTTAGGGTTGAGGAGTCAGGGTTTAGGGTTTAGGGTTTAGAGTTTAGGGTTTAGGAATCAGGGTTTAGGGATGACGGTATAGGGTCTAGGGTTTAGGGTTTCGATGTTGAAAAACTGCGCCTGCAGGGTTCGGGGTTTGCTCAAGTATCACGGTGCGGCGGCGTGGACCCAAAGCCTCTCTAAAACCCGTGCTTGGCCAGCCCTTTCCAGAAGCCCTTGCAAAACCCTAGCTATGTGGGCTTAGGCTTAGGGTAGCAAACCCTAAGCCGTAAGCCCTACACCCGAAACCCTACACCCTAGACCCTAAGCCTCACCCTCCAAGTCCCCCAAATGCCCCCCTTGAATGCGGGATTGAGGCCATCACCAACTTCCCTTTCGTGCCGACGCTCAAGGTGGTCACGACCACTGGCCGCTTCAACATCTTGCAGAAGGAGGGGCTTAAGGCCACCCGAACACCCCAAAACCCCTTCAACCTCAAACCCTGACACCCTGAAGCCCACAAACCCTAAAACCTTTTGAGAACGCCGCAAGTCCTAACAACCCTAAAAACCCCAAACGCCCTCAACCCGAAACCCCAACAGTTGCAGTCAAGCGCCTGAAGCAGTCAACCTTTCCCTGAGCTCAGTTTGGGATTTTAGGGGCCGAAGTTGTTGAGGGTTGCTGATGGCTTCAGACAAGTTTTCAGGCGTTGCTTCAGGGGTTCTTAAATCCTATAGACCCTAAACCGGCTACTGTCGGCTTCGGAGGGTTTAGGGTTGAGGACCTGCGCAGCAGCAGCCCAGTTCTGCAAGATTTACCTGCTACTAGACCATCTTCAAGGTTAGCTACTGTACCTTGACCGGTTGAAGACCAGGTCCCTCTTGGCCTGTAAAGCTAACCTTCGCACACTGAGCATTTTGGCCGCGCCCCTTGTCTTGCGCCATGTCTATGCACCCCTGGCGTCTGACCATCTTGGGGCTTCCGGCCCCTCTTCTCGGCGCGTCGCCCGGGGCTTGGCCCGAGCCAGAGAGCTTCAACATCCCCAGGTTTCAGGCCCTGCTCTCCTCTCAGGCCATGTGCCGCTCTTTGGTGTACCGGCCCGTGACCGCAACGACCATGGAGCTGGCGGCCCGCGAGCTCCGAGAGGGGGCTCCGCATGGGACCTTGGTCCTGGCCGAAGAGATGACCCAGGGGCGCGGGCGGGCAGGAGCCAGGTGGGCTTTGGGCTTCTCCCAAAGACGGCAACCTCTACCTCACTCTGGCGCTCCGTGCCGGTGAGCCCTCCTTGAATGCCCATCGGCGCGCGCAGGTGAATTTCGCAATGCCCCTGGCTGTAGCACAGGCCGTCAAAGATGTAGAGCCAGAGGTGGACCCCATGATACGTTGGCCTCGGGCGGTGGAAGTTCAAGGGCGCAAGGTTTCAGGATCCCTGGTCGAGGTGCGCCGCGAGGAAGGCACTGAGCACCTTGCAGCAGGCATCGGCGTGAATGTCAACGCCGACTTTTGCAACAATGGCACCTTCTCTCAGGATGTGACCAGCCTGCGGTGTTGTGCGCAGAAGCTGATCGACCGAGAGCAGCTTCTGGCGCAGCTCTGCAACAACCTGGAGTTGTACTTGGAGATGTCTCCCAGCGACTTGGACTTGCATACCTGCGTTGGCCGTCTGTTACGGCCGTGGACAGTGAAGTTTCCCTCCACAACAAGACGAGCAAGCAGCCGCTGGTAGACGGCAAAGTCACAAGCATCACGCCGGCAATGGACCTCGTTGTCCAGGCCTCCAACGGTAGCCAGATTGAAGTATCAGAGATAGGTGGCATCACTGTCTTTCCTAGGGGCCGCCGGTACAAGGCGGAGCTGTGATATGAAGCGATGCCGTGATATGAAATGATGCCAGGGCTGCGAGATCGATGCGAATCCCCCGCCCCGCCCCCCCCCCCCCCCACCTCCCGTTGCACCCAAGCCCCTGAACTACAGGTGCGATTGCGTTCTCTGCGGCTGCTCAAGCATGAACTTTGTGCCCCAGGTCTTGGGTTTCATCCATTCGGGGGTGTCTTCCAACTGGTGGGGTCTTTGGTGTCCTGCTCACTGCTCTGGATCCACCACCCTCTTGGCTTTCTCCTTTGCCTCGGGCACTCTTTTTGGCATTCTTCTTGCTCTTTACTTCTTCCGTGCCTCACTCTTTCTGCCGAGCCCTGCAGCTGCATTTCCCAGGCCTGAGACTTCCCGCGCTGAGGCCCCCTTGCAGGCCTCTACTCCTCTCCGTTTGCGCAAGTACTTGCATGGGCCAGAGTGAGCTCTCACGAGCATTTGAGCACCTTTCCGAGGCTTTGAGGTTACTGCTGCTTCGGCGCCAGCCGGTGCTTTTCCTGCTGCACAGGGTTCCCCTCATCCCCCTAGCCCTAGTGGTTCTGTTGGGATGTAGTAGGCCCTATTGCAAGCCGTGAGCTCGGGTCCCGTGGAGCTCCGGCGCCCCCTCCACGCACCACAGCGCCTCATCCCGCCTCGTTACAACGAAGTCGAGGCTTCTTTCCCTGCCGCGCTTGCTCATTGCTTTGTTCTTCGTGCCCCTGGCCCTGACTCACCCGTTCGGTCCCCAAACGCCGTCGCATTCAGGAGAATCGTGGGCGCACAGGAAGACTCAGACATCTTGTGCCACGCAGCCGGCTTGCCATTTCCGCTCGAGCAACCATGGATGCCACTCTCTTGCCTTCCCTCGCCGAGGGCCAGTTAAACCTTCACCTTCTCCGCTGGACGGGGGAAGGAAAATCCTCCCTTTTGGAGGCTGCGTACGCTGTGCCGGTGCTTTCCCGGAGCGAGGGGGTCATTCTTGCAATTCCTCCCGGCTTCCTGGCTCCAACCCTCCTGGCTTTAGGCCCTCAAAGCTTCTGACCGTACCATCGTGACGGACGAACTGGGAGCAGAGAGCCTGCTCGGCATAGATGCGCAAGTCCTTGTGTGCGAATTTCGGGGGTGGGGTCATAGAGCTTCTTCAGGAATATCGCGAAGAGACGGATCTGACAGACTGCCTTTTGTTCTTGGAGGATCACCCAGATGCACTGCCAGTGGGGCCGGCCCTTCTCAGGCCTGGATAGCGGAGGCTGCTGTCTGGCTTTCTACTCTGCAAGCCGACATGGCCCCCAAGGCCAAGGCGAAACAGCAAACCAAGGCCAAGCGCCTCACAACAGCTGCCCTTGCAGAGCAGGTCGCTGCAGTGACGGACCTGCTTCCCCAGATTGGAAAGCAGCTTGCAGCTTTGCAGAAAGGTCAGCAGGATTTGGCGGCCCGCCTTCCTGTGTCCATGGAGCCGGCTCATGTTAGGGCCCTCTGCAACTTCTCAGATGCGCTTTCCGAGTGTGCAGCCAAAGCCCCCCCATGCAGCCTTTCCAGCTTTCGGGTCTAGGCAAGGGTTTTTCTGTGTCCCCCCAAGCAAACCTCATAGGACCGCCGCCCCGGACGAGGGAACCTCTAGATTTGGGGGCAGGCGTGCCACTTCAGGACGAGCCTGCGGAGCGGGGATATGGGATGCCTCCGGAGTCAGCCGAGTTTCCCAGCATGCAGGCCGCAATCATGCAGCAGACACAGGCGCTTTTGTCCCATGTCCTCTCCCAAGCAGACGGAGGCTTAGCCGACCTGGCGTCCGGATCAGGCTCTTCGTCCTCCTTGGCCTCTCGGGGAGCAGCAAAGAGGGAGCGGCTCCAGCAAGCTCTGTCCAGCCGGACAGGGGACTTCTTCCTTCAAGTCATGCAGCAGGTTTTTCGGCGGCTCAATCTCGCAGAGCTGCAAGGCAGCCCGATGATGTGCCGCTACTTGGAGAGATTCTGCGGATACGCCGGCCAAAGGGAGGCCGGATACCTAATGTGGATGCTGGCTCATGTGGCAGATGCTTTGCTCCAAGACGATGTCCTTGGAGCCCGGGAGCATTTGGCTTTGTGCTTGGTGTGTCTCGACCAAAGCGTGCTAGATGGGCCTTGCCTACATGATGTCTCTTCTGGACGAACCACCAGGCCAGATGTTCTTGCCCCGCCAAACTGCAGCAAACCCGCGGTCCCGGGCTTTCTCTCCCCTGTCGCCAGTTGGCTGGGCCACGACGTCTCTCCAATACTTGAAGGAAATCGACCTCATCAACACCAGGCGTTTGGAGAGCCTTGGTGGCAGTGCCAGGAACCCATCCTCGCCCCCGACAGCCGATGCCAGTCAGGATCCTGCAAACAAGCCACCGCGACGGCCCCGTTTCCCTCGAAAGCCAAAGAACGAGACGGGGGCTGCGTCCAAATAGCCAGGCCTGTGACCCGGCCACCGCCTGGCCTTGTTCATGCCAACAAAGGACACTTGGTTCACAACGAAGGTGTCTTTTGCAACGTGGGCTGGGGGTCTTCTTCGGGGAGTGTTCTGTTCTCGAACCACTTTTGCTTCCTTTTTGAAGTCAACTTTGCATCTGAACAGGCTCGTTCCTGACAAGCCTTCGTGCCGCGCAGCTGGCCTTGTGTTCCCGCTTCCGGTGCCAAGCCCTGGGGCTTTTGAACCTTTTCCTTTGGGTTTGTCTTCCCGGACTAGGAGACGCATACTGCACAGGCGTCTCTTGCACGTCGTTGTTATGGCCCTGAACTTCCTTCACAACGATTTCGTGCCAATACCGCTGGCCCTTTTGCAGCGGCCACCTACCCAGGTGCAGGTTCGCCTCACGTCTTCCGTGGGTAGGCTTTTGAGGGAAGGTGAGAAGGTACCGACTGATCCGTCTGTGCTTCCCGAACTCGAGCCTTACAGGCCCCTTTGTGCTTCAAGGCTGAAGCTTTCTGGCCGCGGCCAGTTTGACGCTCGGCCTTTCCTCAGCCCAAACCTCTACATGGCTTTCTGTGAGCCTGATGCTCTGCTGCACACCGGCATGCCTCCCACTGATGTCTTTGCTGATTGGACCAAAGAGCGGCCCGAAGAGGTCGCGGCCTTGGCCAAGATCTGGGATTCAAAGGGCTTGCTGCATCTTAGGCCCTCCAACGTACCTGCCTCTTTGAGCCATCACGTTTCGTGGGCTTTTAACTGCTACAAAAGCCCAGAAAAGGATCGACAGATCATTGACAGAAGGGGTCGAAACTGGTGTGAAGGCAGGGTTTGCGGCCCATCCGCAATCATACCGGTAGGGCCCCTGCTGTGCCAACTTGAGGCCCGGCCTAGCCGCGAGACTGTCAGGATTTTAATAAGTCAATAACTGACAGGCGTGACTTTTACCATCAGTTTTGGGTGCCAGACCGGCGCGCTGAGACAAACATGCTGGGTCCCGCTCTGCCGCGTAGCATGCTGTTTGGCACGGCTGCACTTGAGAGGTTCGAGGCCCAGCGATGTCCGCGTTCTTCGGGAAAAAGACTGCACGAGGTCAGAAGCGACTTCCTTCACGAGGAGCCTGCTAAGGATCGCTTGGAGCCTTTGTTGTTCAACTCCGACCTCTTGGTGCCTTGCTTCAAGGCCATTGCTCAAGGGGACCATATCGGTGTCGAACTGGCCTCGGATGCGCATGCCTCTTTGCTCGCTAGCCACGGTCTCCTCGGTGGGGGCGACCGTCTTTGTTCCAACAGGCCTTTCAAAGGCAGCACAGAGGCCCAGGGCCTAATAATCGACGACTTCTTTGTGTTTCTCAGTCTGCGATGCTAGCTCCAGCAGTGAGCCGGCGTGCGTTGCCAAGCTGCGCTTGGCAAAGGAAGCATATGCTTTGTACTCCCTCGAAGGCTCCGATGACAAAGACGTGTGGGGCGGAGATTGCGTGAGAGTCGCTGGGGCGCAGCTCGACTCTTCGCCCGGCACTCGAGCGCTCGGCCTCATTACTCTGGGAGCCCCTGCCGCTAAGAGGGCGGCTCTCTCTGTGATCAGCCTTGAAGTTGCCAGACTTGCCCACACAACCGATAGTCTGCACTTGCGCCTGCTGGGCAACTGGACTTCCAGCTTGCTTTACAGGCGACAGCTCATGTCAGTGCTCGCCAGGAGTTTTGGTCTTGTCCGAGCGCAGGATTTAGGCCGGGTTCCTCGTGTCATTGGCCTTCCCAGGTCTGTCGCCCAGGAGTTGGTCCTGCTGGCCATCCTGGCCCCGCTTGCTGTGTCCAATCTTGGCGCCGTCCTGGCAGACAGTCTATACGCCACCGACGCTTCCGAGCAAAAGGGTGCTTTCGTGAGTTCCGCCGCGCCCCCCTTTCTGGTCCGGTCACTTTGGCGCACTGGCTCTAAGAAGGGTGGCTACTCTCGCATTTTCTCTCGTGAGGAGGCACTCCTGGCTAAGCACCTTCTATGATCTTCGCTTGTTGCGCTACTCGCTTGTGTCTCAGTTGCCCTTCTTTGGGGCTGGGTCCCCGTTGCCGGGTTGCTGGCTTTAACGTGGGGTGGCGTCATGCGCGTGGGCGAGGTTCTCGGTGCTACGAGATCTGACCTGACATTGCCAGCCGATCTTGGTGGCACGATATGGTTTGCGCTGCTGTCAATCGCGGAGCCAAAAACAAGGTTTCGTGCTGCCCGACACCAGGTCGCTCGCTTGGACCAACCTGATTTGCTGCGAGTTGTCACCATGGCTTTTGGTCACTACGCCCCCGAAAGGCGCTTATGGCCTTTCTCTCCCTCGACTTTGAGGAGCAGGTTCTCCGCAGTGGTCAAGGCCCTCTCTTTGGACCGACTTCCAGGAGGCAAGCAGTTGGACCTTGGCTCCCTCAGAGCGGGAGGGGCTACGTGGCTCCTTCACCAGACTGAGAACAGCGAGCTCGTTAGGCGACGAGGCAGATGGCTAAATCATCGTTCGATGGAGATTTACGTCCAGGAAGTGGCGGCGCTACATTTCTTCTCGACAGTCCCAGCCGTCGCCAAGACCAAGGTTTTGTCCTTGCTGGAAGGATTCCAAAATCTCCTGTTCCGTGCAGAAGCGCTTCAGCGTGCAGGGGTCCCCCCTGCTGTTTGGTTCAATCTCTTTCGCCTGGGTTCGCAGCCGCAATGGTTGGAAAGGTTGGGTGTGGCGAAAATCGCTTTGGGCATACTACCAGGAGCTACTTCAGACTCTGGTGCAAAACAGAAGTTGCCCGTTGCCGCTTGGTTAGCATGAACACCTGACCTACAGGTGCGATTGCGTTCTCTGCGGCTGCTCAAGCATCCCGCCCTCCACTCCCGCGCCCAGGCGAAAATCGCTTTGGGCATACTACCAGGAGCTACTTCAGACTCTGGTGCAAAACAGAAGTTGCCCGTTGCCGCTTGGTTAGCATGAACACTTGAAAAGCTCTCCTAGCCCCGCTCCCTAAACCCACCCTAAATCCTATATCCTAAACCCTAAACCCTAAACCCTAAACCCTAAACCCTAAACCCTAAACCCTAAACCCTAAATCCTAAACCCTAAACCCTTAACCCTCCAAAAAACAAACCCAAAAAACTCCAGGAGATGGACGTGAACGCTGGCCTCTTGACGGAAGGCGTCGGCCTGCCGGACCTGGCTCGACGGGTCTACGGCCAAATGAGCCCAGCTGAAATTCTTGGGTTTAGGGTTTAGGGTTTAGGGTTTAGGGTTTAGGGTTGAGGGTTTAGGGTTTAGGGTTGAGGGATTTGGGTTTAGGGTTTAGGGTTTGGGGTTCAGGGTTTAGGGTTTAGGGATCTAGGTTTCAGGGTTTACGGTTCTCGGATTTGTAGGTTTCTGGGTTTAGGTTTCAGGATTTAGGAGTCCGGGTTTCAGGGTGCTGGGTTTCAGGGTGTTTCTGGGTTTCAGGGGCATTGAGGCATAGGGCTTGGGGTTTCAGGGGCTTTGGTGGCTGCAGGGTTTAGGGCTTGGTTCTTAGGTTTGTCGGGGGTCTTGGGCGTTGGGAGTACTATTTTTCTCGCTGATTGGGGGTTAGGGTTTACGGGATTTCGGAGTTTTGCGGGTTTAAGGGTTCAACGTAGGGGGCTTCGGAGCCGAGGGGCCAGTATGCTTGGGCTTGTTAAAAGGTTTTCAGGTTGCAAGCCATCGAGGGAGGTTGCGAAACCCCCAAAAAACCGAAAGCCCGAAGCCCCTCCCCCCCCCCCCCCCCCCCGGCCCCCCCCCCAAGACCCTAAACCCAATAAACTCTACACCATGATCCCATGATCTTGCAGGGTTGCTCAGACCCGGAGTGGGCCCTTGTACCCTTGTCTTGTTCTTCTAGGCTTGGGGTTCAGGTATCAGCCCCTTTAAGCTAAATCTCACTGGCTCAAAACCCAACTTTTCAACTTTTGGGCTTCTTATAAGGTGTTTTTTATTCCGAAAGTTTCAACTTTTGTTTCCTTGGGTTTTGGGCCAGTAAGAAAAGGTCACCCTGTTTATTTCTAGGTTGCTCTTGTGTCTAGGCTAAGGAACCTGCTCACGTGATCAGGCTCGACGTCGCAGCGGGCGCCAAGAGCAAAGGAGAGATGGCAGGCGAGCACCCTAAACCCTAAACCCTAAACCCTAAACCCTAAACCCTAAACCCTAAACCCTAAACCCTAAACCCTAAACCCTAAACCCTAAACCCTAAACCCTAAACCCTAAACCCTAAACTCCAAACCCGAAACCCTAAACCCTAAACCCTAAACCCTAAGCCCTAAGCCCTAAGCCCTAAGCCCTAAGCCCTAAGCCCTAAGCCCTAAGCCCTACACCCTACACCCTAAACCCTAAACCCGAACCCCACCGTAGGGTTTAGGGTTTCCCGAACAGCCGAAGTTCCTGCAAGCTCTCAACGTCGGGCTTGGGGATTCAGATGATTCGGGGTTCAGGGTGAAGGGTTTTCGGCCGAAGACTCACACCCCAAAACCCTAAACCCTAAACTAAACAATTCCCCAAAACCCTTAGAGTCACCCTTAACTGGGCCCTTCTTGCAGGTATCAGCCAGGTGTCCATTTGGCGAAACTGGTTCTTGGGTGATGCGCAGCAGCTGAGCGACCTACAGGTGCTTCCATGCCCCCTCCCACCCCCCAAAGCAAACGGTTTAGGGCGTAGGGCTTAGGAACTTTAGGGCTTCTAGGGTTTAGGATGTTTAGGGTTTGGGGTTTAGGAGGGTCCCAAAATGATTGCGGTGTTTGGGTTTCAGGGGTTCAGTGTTTAGGGTTCTTTCAACCATGATCAGTTCCTGGGGTCCAAGAAAAATCTCGAACGCAGGGAGCTGGCTTTTCTGGTACCAGAAGGGCCCTAACTTAGAGCCTCCCTAATCCCTAATCCCCAATCCGTACACCCTAAACCCCAAGCCCTCTCGTCCTGAACCCTAAACCCTAAGCCCTAAACCCTAAACCCTAAACCCTAAACCCCAAAGCCCTTTGGCCCTAAACCATACAAAGATCCAGGAGCTCAGGGCTTAGGGAACCGCCACGCGCTTTCTAGCTGACCAGGCTGCCTTCAATTTCGAGCAGCAGGACGCGGAAAGTTCATCCTCTTTCAGGGGTTTGGGGTGTGGGTTTAGGGTTTAGGGTTTAGGTTAGGGTTTAGGGTTTAGGGTTTAGGGTTTAGGGTTTAGGGTTTAGGGTTTAGGGTTTAGGGTTTAGGGTTTAGGGTTTAGGGTTTAGGGTTTAGGGTTTAGGGCTTAGGGTTTAGGGTTTAGGGTTTAGGGTCTAGGGTCTAGGGTTTAGGGTTTAGGGTTTAGGGTTTAGGGTTTAGGGTTTAGGGTTTAGGGTTTAGGGTTTAGGGTTTAGGGTTTAGGGTTTAGGGTTAGGTTGGCTACGAGGGAGAGGGTGCGGAGTGAAAGGACAGATGTTGTTGGGCTTTCGGTTGCTGTTTGCCAGTTGATTGGGTTCGAGGCTGAAGGGGCGCCCGGGCCCTAGCCCTCAAGCCTATGCTTTGTTGTCGGCGTTGGGTGACAGTTTTGGCCCTTGGATCCTAACTTTGGACCCTTCGTAGCCCGAAGAGTGGGGTCTGGGGTATAGGGAGGAAGGAGCCTGGGCCCCCTTATCTTCCTCTTGCGGGGGCTTGCGATGCCTCTTCTCGGGTTTCTGAGCCCCAGACCACAAGCCCCACAACCCTAGTCAACCCCAAACCGTCCTATAAACCCTACCAGGATCTGCAGCAGCCGCCCCTGAAAGTCAAGCGGCTCGAGCCAGAGATCAGCTAGGATGAGGAAGGAGGTTGCCTTCCTTACCTCAGAAAGGGGTACCCTATGTGGAGGATTTCTGCTGCAGGAGGGTATCTTGGTGCCCCTATCTTGGGAGATGCCCTCATCTGTTCCAGGCTTTGAGGGCTTGCAGGCGGGGTGGGGGGGTGTAGCGGCTTAGGACTCTCCTTTCGTGTTCAGGACCGTAACCCTAAACCCTAAAGTCCTAAAATCATATGCGGCAGCGAAGCTTTTCTCCGACTCCTTCGAGTGGCCGCGCCCGACGGAACCACAAGCAGACCCCACGGCCGAAGCCGAAGTTGGCAAGCCTAGGAGCTCAAGGTTTTGGAGTCCAAAGCCCCGAGCCTTCCTGGCTAATAGACAGAAGTTGCATGTGGATCGCTTTGAACCTGAAAATTTTCCTGGGGGGGCTGGGGGTGGGGGGTGGTGGGTGGGGGGGGTGGGTGGGGGGGTGGGGGGGTGGGGGCGGGTGGGGTGGGGGGGTGGGGGTGGGGGGCCGGGGCGTGGCGGGATAAGAGAAGGTGACTTTCCGCTGGTATGGCATTGCCGCGCCAGGGCGGCGCTAGACCCCCACAAGACAGCTCCCACCAAACCAAAAGTTTCAGCCAAAAACGCATTGGGAGTCAAACCCTATACATTTTCTATCATACACTCACCCCTACCAGGGTTTAAGCCCCCAAAGCCCTAACTAGGCTTTAGGGAGCCCCTGGTCCCTAGCGCGAAGAAATCCGGGGACTCTTTTTTTTGCACAGCTAAGGCAAGAGGCCCTGCCGAGCTTGCCGGAAGAGATCGCCGAGCCCCAGCCTGTCCCAGAGGGTTTTTGAGGGCTCCGGTGGCTTCGAAGAGGGACTTCCCAGGGCCCCGAACCTGAATCCTAACACTTTAGGTTCGGGCCTTTCCATTTTATGCTTCTAGCTAGGCGATCGCCCTACATTGGGGGGCCCAATCTCCAAACTGACGCCCCAACAATCCTGAAAGCTCCGCAAAGCTTAGGATTCAGGGTTTGGCGGTCTAGGGTTTAGGGTTTAGGGTTTAGGGTTTAGGGTTTAGGGTTTAGGGTTTAGGGTTCCCCTCAACCCCTCCCAAGCTTCCCGAAACCTGCCATGCATCTCAGGGCTTCGTGCGCGACATCCACCACCAAGGCAAGCCCGAGAGCCTCTGCGAAGTCGACTTGATCTTGCCCCTCAGCTTCTGATTCTTTCGCCCCACTTGGGGCTTCCCAAAATGGGGGGTTTACGAGAGTAGGGGGTCCCTAATGTAGAACCCACATAGTAGGTTCCGGGGTACTAACCCCCAAATAGGATTTATGGGGTTCAGGGTGTGTATGGATTCTTGTAAAGATTGTGGGGGGCCTGCATGTTGGGAGATGCGCTGCGTGGTGGCTTTCCTACATTTGAGTTCTAGGGTTGGTGGTTCCCTAAATCGTGTGGTACTTTTTGGGGTTCCCATTGAGCTACGGCGCCGGTTTTCAGGCGCTCCCAGACAAGGCAAAACATAGTTTCGAAAGTTGCCCACACGTTGCTTGGGATGCCTTTTTTCGGTTGCTCAAACCTCAACCCCAAACCCTAAACCCTCAACCCTCAACCCTAAACCCTCAAGCCTAAACCCTAAATCCTAAACCCTAAACCCTAAACCCTAAACCCTAAGCCCTAATTTCCCACAGAAACTATTCCTACTGCAGGCCCACCAGCCTTTGCTCTTCGGAGGTGGCGCGGTCCGCGGCGACGAGGCTTGGGGTTTGGGGTTAAGGGTTTAGGGCTTAGGGTTTAGAGGGTTTAGGGTTTGGGGTTTAGGGTTTAGGGTTTAGGGTTTAGGGTTTAGGGTTTAGGGTTTAGGGTTTAGGGTTTAGGGTTTAGGGCTCTTGCGGGTTTGGGGGTTTGGGTGGATCCCATGGGAGTTTGCCGTATTCTGCGTGCCTTTTTTTGCCGGTGGTGCGTTTACGTGCCTTTGGTGCGTTTCTGACCCCAAAAGGGTTCTCTCGCTCTCGCTCTCGCTCTCGCTCTCGCTCTCTCTCTCTCTCTCTCTCTCTCTCTCTCTCTCTCTTTTGTGGCCTCATCCGGGCTATAGTCCATAGAGGCCTGGGAGGACTTCAACTCCGGAGCCACTCTGCTTTAGCGAGGTTTTGTAAGCCCTAACCCCTAAGCCCTAAACCCTAAACCCTAAACCCTAAACCCTAAACCCTAAACCCTAAACCCTAAACCCTAAACCCTAAACCCGAAACCCTAAACCCTAAACCTTATACTCCTCGAGTCCAACAGAGCGCCCCCCATGAGCCAGGCTTTCGCAGGAAGCCGAGGGCAACAAGGCCCTTGAGTGGCTCTTGGGGCTGTTGGGAACTGCAACACTCTGAGTCCTCAAGCCCCTGTCAGGGTTTAGGGTTTAGGGTTTAGGGTTTAGGGTTTAGGGTTTAGGGTTTAGGGTTTAGGGTTTAGGGTTTAGGGTTTAGGGTTTAGGGTTTAGGATTTAGGGTTTAGGGTTTAGGGCTTGGGGCTCAGGATATCAGCTCCAAGCCTTGATCCCCTGAGTCTTGAAACCCCCCAAAACCCAACGAGCACCCCCAAAAGTGGGTGTCGGGCATCATCATCCCCCTGATCAAGGGTTTAGGGTTTAGGGTTTAGGGTTTAGGGTTTAGGGTTTAGGGATATTCAGGCTTGTACCCCTTGCTAGCCTCTTCACAGCTCTTATACTACCTGAAGGATCTGTAAAAAGGGTCCCCCAAAACCCGAAGGTGCAACCTTAGGGGTCCAAGGGTTTAGGGTTTAGGGTTTAGGGTTTAGGAGAAGCTTTGTCTGCAGGGGCATTTCGTGGCGCTGCCGCATACAGAAGGAGTCGGGGGTTTCGTGGGTCCAGACTTTGATTGCTTGTAGGGGAGGAGGGGTCAAGGTCTAGGGCTTTGGGGTCTTAAAGGGCGTTTTTGGGGGGTTTTGTATCATCCCCAAACCCGAAACCCGAAACCCGAAACCCGAAACCCTAAACCCTAAACCCTAAACCCCAAACCCCAAACCCTAAACCCTAAACCCTACACCCTACACCCTACACCCTAAACCCTAAACCATAAACCCTAAAGCCTACACCCTAGACCCTACACCCTAAACCCTGTTTTGTCTTTTTGTGAAGGAGGGGGTGTGTATCCAGCTGAGGTTGGGAAAGCTGGTCGTTCGGAGCTTAGGTAGCGTACCCGTACCCGGCTACTTTCATCTTCTGTGCTTGGGCTCTTAGGGTTTAGGGTTTAGGGTTCAGAATTTAGGGTTTAGGGTTGAGGGTTTCGGCTTTCAGGGTTTCGCAGTCAAAAAGCTTCTGGATTCACTGTCTTCCCCGAAGTCCTCAAACCCTAGTTGAGCCACCTAAACCCTAAGCCGAAACCCTACGTAAACCCAAACCCCGCTGTAAACCCTAAAGCCTAACCCTAACCCCTAAACTCAATGAACCCTAAACTCAATGAACCCTAAACTCAATGAACCCTAAACCTAAACCCTAAACCCTAAACAGTAAACCCTAAACCCTAAACCCTAAACCCCAAACCCCAAACCCTAAACCCTAAAGCATCCCCTCGGCGAGGATGCGGTGGAGCCGGCGGGGCGCAGTTCGAAACCATCTTCCAGCGCGTTCGGCGCTTATTCCTGGGGAGTTCTTCCATCGACTTGGGTGGCTAACCCTCAACCCTCAATCCTCAACACTCAACCCTCAACCCTCAACCACCCTCAACCACACTCAACCATCCTCAACCACCCCCAACCACCCTCAACCACCCTCAACCACCCTCAACCACCCTCAACCACCCTCAACCACCCTCAACCACCCTCAACCACCCTCAACCCTCAACCCTCAACCCTCAACCCTCAACCCTAAACCCTAAACCCTAAACCCTAAAGCATTTCACCGGCGAGGTTTCGAGGGTCGCTTTTCAGGAGGGGAGACGGCTCAAGTTGCAGGGCCTCAGGGTTTGCGGGTTTAGGGTGCCAAGGGGGTCCTTAGACCCTAAACCCTAACCCTAAACCCTAAACCCTAAACCCTAAACCCTAAACCCTAAACCCTAAACCCTAAACCCTAAACCCTAAACCCTAAACCCTAAACCCTAAACCCTAAACCCTAAACCCTAAACCCTAACCCTAAACCCTAAACCCTAAACTCCTTACCTTCAACCCGTCCCCCCAGGTGATGTTGGGCCACCTGCTGCATCCGCAAGTGCGGCGTGGCTTCCTCCTGGAGCATGGGCGCGGGGTCCCATCGGTTGGGAGGGGTTGATTGAAATTATTAAGGGTTCAGGTCCGGGAAAGTTTCGAGGAGTTTCGAGGAGTTTCAAGGAGTTTCAAGGAGTTTCAAGGAGTTTCGTTTTTTTAGGGTTTTTCTTAATCATTTCAAGCTACAAGGGGCTTGAGGGTTTAGGGTTTAGGGTTTAGGGTTAGGGTTTCGGGTTTAGGGATTGCTGGGAGTGTTTGGGCTCGTTTTGGGGGTGTTCCTGTGCCCGAAAACCCTGAGTCTTCAGCACTCCGAACTTGCAAGTCCCAAGTCCTAGGTTCTGAGTCATCGCCGCTAAGCCGTAGGTCCGACATCCTACCCAACTATCCCTGGCTCCCTAGTGCCTCAGCCATACAAAAACACTAAACCCTCACGCGTCTAAACTACCCGAACCCTCACACTTCACCACCCTAGAAGTCCTAAAACCGGGAAGTTTGGCGCCACCCTAAACCCTAAACCCAAAACCCTAAACCCTAAACCCTAAACCCTAAACCCTAAACCCTAAACCCTAAACCCTAAACCCTAAACCCTAAACCCTAAACCCTAAACCCGCCCGCCACCCCACTCTCTTGTCTTTTGGGGTAGGCGGGCGCTGGTCGAGCGCTCAGTGAGACCCTGCGAGGGAGCCCCAGGCGGGCGACCGAGCTGGCCTCCAGGCTGGCTTACCCTCCAGGCAGGCACAGGCCGAGTCAGCAGTTGTCACCCCAGCTGTCCGCGCACTTGGTTGGAGGGCCCTGGCCAGCCCGGCCCTGGCCCTGGCCCTGGCCCTGGCCCTGGCCCTGCCCTCGCCCTGACCCTGTCCCTGGCCCTGTCCCTGGTCCTGGCCCTGGCCCTGGGCCCTGCGTCTGGAGCTGGCCCTGGTCCTGGCCCTGGCCCTGGGCCTGGCTGGCCTGGCCCCGGCCCTGGCCCGGCTTGGCCCTTTGGCCTGGCAGGGCCGGCCCTGGCCCTGCCCTGGCCCCGCTGGCCCGGCCGGCCCTGGCACTTGGCCCTGGCCTGGCCCTGAGGCCCTAACCCTGACCTGACCCTGATCCTGACGCTAACCCTGCCCTGGCCTCTGGCCTGTTCGAGTCATCTTACCCCCTTGCGCCAAGCCAGCTGTCCGCGCACCAGTTTGTGTCCTGTTTCTTGGCGCTCTCCCTCTGGCTTTAGCCCCTGTGCGCCAACCCAATCTGTGCTGCCTCGCTTCCGTTTGCTACAACCCTCCACCTTACCCCCTTCGCGCCAAGCCAAGCTATCCGCCACACCAGCCCTGTTTCCGTGGCGCTCTGCCCAACCCAAGCTGTTCACTGTGTGTTCTTCCTGGCTGGAGCCCCTTCGCGCCAACCAAGCCTCGCTGCCTTTCTCTGTTCCTGGCCCATCCCTTAGCCCCTTCGCGCCAACCCAAGCTGTCTTCACGGACCCTGCCTCGTTTCCGTCTGCTGCAGCTTTGCGCCTGGTCCACGCACCTTGTGGAAATCCCCAAACAGGGGATGCTTTGTAAAGAAATAAAAGGTCTTAACTCCTTGAGAGTTGTAAGTGGGCGGTCTTGGGGTGGGTAGGTCTGCAGACTACCGCACGCTCCCAAAGCGCGCTCCCGTCTGGCACGCCCTAAACCCTAAACCCTAAACCCCAAACCCTAAACCTTAAACCCGGTGCCTTTTGTGCTCCTCCCGCATGGGGGGGGGTGGTCTCAAAGCCCGCAAGCCGACTCCGAAGCCGCAAGCAGCCCTCTTGAAAGTCTTGAAAGTTCTGGTCCGGTTCGGGTTTAGGATTTAGGATTTAGGATTTAGGATTTAGGATTTAGGATTTAGGATTTAGGATTTAGGATTTAGGATTTAGGATTTAGGATTTAGGATTTAGGATTTAGGATTTAGGATTTAGGATTTAAGCTTCGGATTTAGGATTTAGGATTTAGGATTCAAGCTTAGGATTCAGGGTTGAGGGTTGTTTAGGGTTTGTAATCCTGGCTCTACATTCTCTCCCCCAAGTCGACTTTGCAACCCTATGCCCGAAGCCCTGGCCTAGAGGCCCCCCAAACCCTACAGAGCCACCTGACCCCGCGAGGCACCCTAAACCCTAAGCACCCTAAACCCTAAACCCTAAACCCTCAACCCTCAACCCTCAACCCTCAACCCTCAACCCTAAATCCTAAACCCTAAACCCCAAACCCCAAACCCTAAACCCTACGCCCTTCAGATGCCCCTTTCCAGAAGGTGCGAGAAGACGCACAACGACTGGTTCGCCGCGTGCCTGGCCTCGAGGGGCCTCGCACTGGATCGCTTTGGCTGGGCCTCCGTGCAGATGGACGGCGGCATCGAGGCATCCTTACTTTTTGAAACCCTTGAGAACCCGAAAGATGAAAAAGTTTTTCAGGCTGAATTTTGGCATCATTCTCAGGGTAGTTTACTAATTGGGGAATATGCTCCTTATATACCTTCCGAAACCCAAGGGCCCACTCTTCAGAACTCTCTAAACAAGTTAAGGGACCATATCAAGGGACCATGTAAGTTTCCCTTAGGTCTCATAGGGTTTAAGGTTGAGGGTTGAGGCGCCCCATGCCCCAAAGCCCCCGAGCCTTGAGCCGCCAAAACCCACGAAATCTAAAGGCCTCCAAAGCCCAAAGCCCTGAACCAAGAGATTCCCCCCTAAAGCCCCAGTTTCGGGTTTCAGGATTTAGGGGTTATAGGGTGTTTAGGGTTTACAGGGTTCATAGGGTTTAGGGCCCGAAGCCCTGAGCTTCACTGGCGGCCGTCCCAGGCGGTGTATGCGCGGATTCGGGACTTCTTCAAGGACCGGCTGGCAGCACGGGAAAGGCTACAAGCACACGATTCTTCATCAGCTTGGGGTTTCTGGGGTTGAGGGGCAGAATTTTAAAGTGCAAAACCCAAAACCCTAGAACCCTAGAACCCGAAACCCTAAACCCTAAACCCTAAGCCCTAAACCCTAAACCCTAAACCCCAAACCCCAAACCCTAAACCCTAAACCCCAAACCCTAAACCCTAAACCCTAAGCCCCAAACCCCAAACCCCAAACCCTAAACTCCAACCAAGAAAGCCCCCCCCAAGGACCCTGAGCCGCCCCAGCCGTCCCCGGCGGCGCCCCTGCGTCTGGCCTTGCTCGCGGCCGCAGCTCCGGGAGCTGAGGCGGGATAGCTTAGGGTTTAGGGGGTGGGGGTTTGGGGGTAGGGTTTGGGGCTTAGGGTTTAGGGTTTAGGGTTTAGGGTATGGGGTTTAGGGTTTAGGGTTTAGGGTTTAGAGTTTAGGGTTTAGGGTTGAGGGTTTAGGGTATAGGGTATAGGGCATAGGGTTGAGGGTTGAGGGTTGAGGGTTGAGGGTTTGGGAGGGGTTTCAGGGTAAGGATTTGGGGTTAGGAGTTTTTGGGTTTAGAGGCGAGGGTGGGGTGGCTTGGAGGCGTGTTGAGGGTTTGTGTTGTTTTAAAGTATTTGGTGCGGAGGGTTTTGTGACTGTGGAGTGTTTTTGGGTTTTTTCTTCGGGTTTCTTGTCACAGGGATTCCGCAGTTTGGTTAAACCCTAAACCCTAAACCCTAAACCCTAAACCCTAAGCCCTAAGCCCTAAGCCCTAAGCCCTAAGCCCTAAGCCCTAAGCCCTAAGCCCTAAGCCCTAAACCCTAAACCCTAAACCCTAAACCCTAACCCTAAACCCTAAACCCTAAACCCCAAGCCTACAAAGCTCTTCCCGCTCTCAGCTCCTCAGCCATCGTTCCTACGTGTCCTTCACCGCTTCCCTGCCTCGCAAACTCAGTCCCTGAATTGAAAAGCTTAGGCCCTAAGCCCTAAACCCTAAACCCTAAACCCTAAACGCTAAACCCTAAACCCGAAACCCTAAACCCGAAACCCTAAACACTAAACCCTAAACCCTAAACTTTCAACCCTAAACCCTAGACCCCAAGGCGTTATTGCTCGCCGAGCTGACCCGCTTCGTTGTTCTGCAGGGAGGCGCCTGGGCTAGGGTTTTGTTTGGGGAGGTTGGTTTAGTCTAGGGCCGGGGCTCGTTTCAGGGTTACGGGTTAGGGTTTAGGCTTTAGGGTTTAGGGCTTTGGGTCTCCAAGAAACCCTACACCTTGTTGACCTTCAACCTCTAAACCCTACACCCCGAAGAATGCTGCTTGTGCAGAGTGCTGTCCAGGGGTTCTTGATGTTGGAGCACGCAACCCCCCAAACCTGTATCAAGGAGTTCTAGGGTGTTGGGTGTACGTAGGGCCTTTCAGGTTAGAGTTTAGGGATGTTTCGGGTTTAGGGTTTTAGGGTTTGGGGTTTAGGGTTTAGGGTTTAGGGTTTCAGGTTGGGGCCTTTCAGGTGCGAGGCTTGTAGGGCTTGCCCAGGCACCGTGCTGCTTCCGTCGACCTCGCCGCTGCTGCTCAACGACGCCTTCATCGCTGCGACCCTCTTTGAGGACTCCCCGCCAAACTCGGGGGTCTCTCCCTGCCTAAACCCTAAACCCTAAACCCTAAACCCTAAACCCAAAACCCTAAACCCTAAACCCTACCCTGAACCCTAAACCCTAAACCCTAAACCCTAAACCCTAAACCCTAAACCCTAAACCCTAAACCCTAAACCCTAAACCCTAAACCCTAAACCCTACACCCTAAACCCTAAACCCTAAACCTTATAGATCCTAACTGAAGAAGCCTCGGACTCACCCTAGATCACAGGAGTTGCCTGGAAGTCTGCTGCAGCCCACGCTGGCCTATGCGCAGATCCCTTCCTCCCCGGGACTGCACGTGATGGAGGTCTGCCCCTAAGTTACATGTGCGCGTAGGGTTTAGGGTTTAGGGTTTAGGGTTTAGGGTTTAGGGTTTAGCCCGGAACCCCTAAACCTTGATCCTGACATCGCCCCAAGTGGTACTTGCGTGGGCTGCCCAGGGCCGCGAGTTCCTCTAAACCCTAACTTCGCCGAGTACGTCAAACTGTTCGCGTTCGAATCTTCAGCCTAAGGCCCGAACCCCGAACAGTTTGGGGTTTAAGTTTGAGGGTTTGCGTTCTGGGGTTTCGGGTTTGGGGTTTCCTGTTTGGGGTTTAGGGGTTAGTTCCCCGAAACCCTCTAGCCCCTAAACCCTGTAGACCCTGAACCCTGTCGACCACCCGAAACCCTAAACCTTAAACCCTAAACCCTAAACCCTAAACCCTAAACCCTGGAGACCCTAAGCCGTCAACCCAGGTCCCGAGCACGGCAAGCTCGGTGGAGATCGTCGCTGGGTTGGCACCAGCAGCGCACAGCTTCCTGTGCCTGGGCTTCAATTGCTTTCGGCGGTTTAGGGACAGGGTGATAGGGTTTAGGGTTTAGGGTTTAGGGTTTAGGGTTTAGGGTTTAGGGTTTAGGGTTTAGGGTTAGGGGACAGGCTTATAGGGTTTAGGGTTTATGGGGTTTGCAGGGTTTGTGGTGCTATAGGTTTATAGGGGCATAGGATTTAGGCTTTTGGCTTTAGGAATTGAGCCCTAAACCCAACCAGTCACCAGGTCCTCAGGCTAAATCTTACGCCCTGTGGACCATTGACTCGCAAACCCAAAGCCCAAAACCCAAAGCCCAAAGCCCAAAACCCAAAACCCCAAACCCTAAACCCCCTAAGCCCTAAGCCCTCAGCCCTAAACCCTAAACCCTAAGCCCTAAACCCTAAACCCTAAACCCTAAACCCTAAACCCTAAACCCTAAACCCTAAACCCTAAACCCTAAACTGTGAAAGACCCTGCAGGGTGTGGATGGACGACCGAGGGCTTCGACCGGCGCATCCTTTCGCTGCCCGGCTCGGGTTTCAGGGTTTGGTTGCTTAGGGTAATTTAGGGTTTAGGGTTTAGGGTTTAGGGTTGCTTAGGGTACTCTTGGGCTTGTAAGCCCAAACCCCGAACCGCAGCTAGTAACTAATTAAGCCCTACCCCCCCCCCCCCCCCCCAAAAAAAAAAAAAATAAAAAAAAAACAAGTTCCCAAGGCTCTCTGATTGCTGGAGGTGAGGATTTCCGTTCTGCAAGTTGCAGAGCCCCCGGGAGTGCTCGAAGGGTTTCGGGTTCAAATCCTCAGCCCTAAACCCTAAACCCTAAACCCTAAACCCTAAACCCTAAACCCTAAACCCTAAACCCTAAACCCTAAACCCTAAACCCTAAACCCTAAACCCTAAACCTTAAACCCTAAACCCTAAACCCTAAACTCCCTAAACCCTACACCCCAAACCCTAAACCCTAAACCCCAAACCCTCCTGTTGGCCTGGCGCTGGGAAGACCGCTGAGGTCCCCACCGTGCACGCGGCCGAGGACCCCGCAAGCCATGGTGGGCTTCTTGATGCGCGGTAGGCTTAGGGTTTAGGGTTTAGGGTTTAGGGTTTATGGTTTAGGGTTTAGGGTTTAGGGTTTAGGGTTTAGGGTTCCGGGCCGAGCAACAAGCCCTGAACGCTAAACCCTGAACCCTATAGGGCTCGGGGTTGGACCCGGAGGATTCTGCGAGCTGCGCCGCCGAGGCGGACGTGGCGGCCTCAATCAGGGGTCGCCCTTTTATGTGGGTTTGGGGTTTAGGGTTTAGGGTTTGGGGTTTAGGGTTTAGGGTTTAGGGTTTGGGGTTTAGGGTTTAGGGTTTAGGGTTTAGGGTCCTTGGAAGGAGGTTGGTTCTTGAACTGTACTGGAACTCCCATCTGCATCGGCGTTTTGCAAGGCAAAACCCGTAAGCCCGAAACCGCTAGGCTAGGCTCTCGACCTACTGGTTCCTACAGATCGTAGACTTCAGCAAATCCCAAAGCCGTTGTTGCTCTAAGATTGAAACCCGCGTTCCCCTACCAAACCCCTAAACAAGCCCTTAAAACCTTTAACAACCCCTAACCACCACTAACCACCCCCTAACCACCCCCTAACCACCCCCTAACCACCCCGAAAGCCCCCGAAAAGCCCCCTACCAACCCTTAACCCTTCACCCTAAGCCCTAAGCCCTAAGCCCTAAACCCTAAACCCTAAACCCTAAACCCTAAACCCCCCCCTCAAGCCCCAAGTCGCCAGGTCTGCGTGGATCTGGTGGATGCCCAGAAGGCCCTCTCCGCCATCTTCGGGGTGGTCCAGGAGGCATGCCAAGAGCTTTCAAGGGGTTTAGGGTTTAGGGTGTAGGGTTTAGGGTTTAGGGTTTAGGGTTTAGGGTGTAGGGTGTAGGGTGTAGGGTGCAGGGTGTAGGGTGTGGGGTTTAGGGTTTAGGGTTTAGGGTTTAGGGTTTAGTGGAGTTCCGGCGGGTTTCGGAGGGGTTTCGGGCGGTTCAGGGGCTTAGGGCGGGGTTAGGGTTTGAGGGGGTAAGGTTTGCAGGGTTCAGGGCTGAGGTGTTGGGTGCCTAGCACTTGGGCCCCATGTGCCCGAAACGCCTAAACCCTAAACCCCCCGAATCCTCATCCTCTAACCCTAAACCCTAAACCGTCAACCCTCAACCCTCAACCCTCAAACCCCCAAACAAAAGCCTTCAAAGAACCCGAACCCTGACTGAACACCCAAAGTCCCAAGCCCCCCCAAACGTAAAGAAAGAACCAAGCCTCGGCCCTAAACCCTAAACCCGAAACCCGAAACCCTAAACCCTAAACCCTAAACCCTAAACCCTAAACCCTAAACCCTAAACCCGAAAGCCTAAAGCCTAAACCCTAAACCCTAGTCCCGACTCATTCCCGCAAGGCGCTGTACGGAGCAAAGACCAAAGCTCCTCGATGCTGAAAGGGGTCTTTGGGTTTGGTCTGGGGTTTAAGGGTTTGGGGTTTAGGGTGTAGGGTTTCGGGTTCAGGGTTTTCGATTTCATTGGTTTTTGGGTTTAGAGTTTTTGGGCTTCCTTTGTTGCTAGGGCTTTGGGTTTGGGGGCTTTAGGGACGGTAGGGCTGGACAGAGCCTCGGAGCTGTGAAGGGTTTAGGGTTTAGGGTTTAGGGTTTAGGGTTTAGGGTTTAGGGTTCAGGGATTAGGGTTTCGGGTTTAGGGTTTAGAGGTTTAGGCGTGTGGGGGTTTGGGGTTTGAGGGGTCGAGGGGTTTTGGGCAGTCGGGTTGCACGTTTCAGCCTTGAGGGTCGAGGGCTTGCAGTTGGGTCGCTGAGGGTTTAGGGGTGAGTCCCGAAACTAAACCCTAAACCCTGAACCCTGAGCCCTAAACCCTACACCCAAAACCCAAAACCCTAAACCCTAAACCGCTCTACACCCCCAACCTTGCACTCCCCTACACATGGCTCAGTCAGCCGAGGCGTCCTCGAGTGGTGCTGTGGACTTCTCTGTCGCGAGCCGGCACCTGCTAAGATGCCCCAAGAAGCCTCTGAAACCTTGAATATACAATATACAATGTACTATATATATATATATATTTATAAGCCTTAAATACTATTTAGGGTCTGTTAGGGTGTAGATGAAAACCCTTAAAAACCCCTTGCCAAGATAAGGGCCTCCAGATGGGCTTTTGCCGAGTCGGTGGTGTGATTGACTTAGGGGTGAAGGGATTTGGGGAACCGGAAAGTCCTCAACCCGAAGTCGAAAATTCGGAGCGGAGTGATGATATCCTCCCATTGGTCTGTGGATGTTTACGTTCAAGCCCTCAGCCCGACCCCAAATCTTAGTTGAGAGTCCTGGAGTTTTGGGGTTTGGGGGATATTCGGGTTCAGGTTTTGTTTTTTGTTAGTTTTTTTTTTTTGGGGTGGGGGACGGTGGGGTGTAAGGGGGATGGGCTTCACTGTTGAGTTTTTTTTGGCAGCAGGTCACCCGCGGCATCACCAGCGTCAGTCTCTGATGCTTCGCGCGGAAAGTGTAGGGTCGCACGGCTTCCGAAAAGGGAGCTGGCTTCCCAGATTAGCGATTTAGGGTTTAGGGTTTAGGTTTTTGCTTGAGGGTTTATAGGCCCTTTGGTTTTTGGTTTGGAAGGCAGTCTAAGACTAGGATCCGTAGGAACTGGAGCTGAGAAACCTCGTGAAGCTCCGATTTCAAGAGAAATTGCTCTGTCGATTCACGGCTCGGTCGATCGCCTCGTCCGGCGGGTAGCCAGTTGGGTTCCGTCTGAGCGATCGCCACCCTTGCGCTGGAGGGAGCTTTGCGCAGCCCAAAGCCAAACAGCCCGTACCGGTAACCCCGACGTCTATACAATTGTAAGTCGCCAACCCCAGAATCGTAGGCCATAAGCCCCTTCGACTACAGGGTCCAGGAACGCACTGAGCTGTCGGATTTCCTCTTGCAAGATGTCAGGACCCCCGAACTTCCCGAACCCTAGCCAATCCCCCGCCCCAAAAGCCTCTCGAGCGCGGCAGGGGTCGTGAAGCCCAGACCATCATGTACATAGCCAGAAAGCAGTGACAAAAAAACAGATAATTAAACGTAAGCCCTGAACCCTGAACCCTGCACCCTGAACCCTAACTGTGGAAGCTGCGAGTCCAGTCTGGGGCGTGAGGGTACTCAAAGCCTTCCAAGCCCTCGATCCGATCGCCAAACCCTAAACGCCAGACCCTAACCCCCCCCCCCCCCCAAAAAAAAAAAAGAAAATGACAAAAAACAAAAAAACAACAAACAAACCCTAAACCCTAAACCCCAAACCGAGGGATTCTACACAAAGGACTTTGGGGGGGCCTTCGGGGCGTCCTGAGAACACCAAAGCCTCTAGCACCGGGAGGAGGGACTCCTTGAGCCCTGGTAGCCATGAGGCCCGAAGCCCTTGAAAGGCCCTCAACCTGAAGCAGGTTTAGGTTTTAGGGTTTAGGTTTTAGGGTTTAGGGTTTAGGGTTTAGGGTTTAGGGTAAAGGGTAAAGGGTAAAGGGTAAAGGGTTAGGGTTTAGGGTTTAGGGCCCCTAAACAGCCCAAAACCCCTAGAGCCCTGAAACCCTTACAGCTCTCAAACGCGAAAAGCCCTAAAAGCACTAAAGCCCCAAAAGCCCCAAAAGCCCCAAAGCCCCAATGAAAGCCCTAAAGCCCTAAAGGCCCCAAACCCGAACACCCCTAAAGCCCTAAAAAACCCTAACAGCCCTAAAGCCCCTAAAAACCCTTAAAAAAAACCACCAGAAAACCCTAAAAGCCCTAAAGCCCCTTAAAAACCCTCAAAAAGCCCTCCAAAAAACCCCAAAAACCCAAAAAACTCAAAAAATAAGAAACCCCAAAAGCCCTAAAGCCCTGAAGCCCTCCTCCTCCCCTAAAAACCCTAAAGCCCCTAAAAGCCCTAAAAAAAAACCCAAGAAAACCCTATCCTCCCCTCTGCCGGGAAGGTGTGCGCCGACCCATCGGCTTCCTGGCCGACCCGAGGCACTTGGGGCAAAAGACGGGGTTTAGGGTTTAGGGTTTAGGGTTTAGGGTTTAGGGTTTAGGGTTTAGGGTTTAGGGTTTAGGGTTTAGGGTTTAGGGTTTAGGGTTTAGGGTTTAGGGTTTTTGGGAGGGACGTCGATGCGTACGAACTTGAAGCCCGATTTCCGAACTTCGGGTCCTGATTTTACAGGAATCCCACTTTTGGGTGTCTATAGTAGGGCTCCCTTATGTTCGGAAACCCCTGATTAGACCCGGCCGATTGCGCCACGGGTTTTTTGTCAGACAGCCACGGGTCGGCCAGGCGCTTGAACGTCGCCGTGCCTGGAGCTTAGTGGCGAGAAGATGAGGGGCTTAGGGTTTAGGGTGTAGGGTTTGGGACCGGAGTCAGGGTATGACATGGGTCACGAGTGTAAGAGCCCAAGAACCTCGTACTTTCAACCGTACCCTAAACCCCTGAAGCACTGAAGCATCAACCCGCAACCAAAAGGCGAAGTCCTGCAGCCGTCGTTGCTTTCGGTCTACGCATCTTAAAATTTCAGCGGGTCTCGAAATATGGGTATCAGCACAGTTGAATCCACAGGCGTCATGAGGTACTTCGACAAGGGGAACCGAGTAGGGAGGTCCTTGGATGGGGGGGGTCACCACCCTAAACCCTAAACCCTAAACCCTAAACCCTAAACCCTAAACCCTAAACCCTAAACCCTAAACCCTAAACCCTAAACCCTAAACCTTTAAACTGTAAATCTATTTAAGCCCATGACTGGTCCGATGCGGGCATGCTGGCCATGCGCGCCGCGCGGGCAGCATCGACCCACACTTGGGTGGGAGGGGGCAGGGGGAGGGGGTGAAAAGAAGAACGTATGCATAAATATAAAATATAAATAGATAGATAAATAAATAAATAAATAAAAATATACATATATAGATATACATATATATGTATGTATACAGATTTAAAGGGTCGACAAGAACTTGAAAGTGAATCCCCATATTGGAGGTCCCTAAGCCTGCAGCCCTACAGGGGCACATGTTAGACCAACCTCCACATCCCAACCTAAACACCCCAAACCCTAAACCTTAAACCCTAAACCCTAAACCCTGAGTCCCCAAAACTTCAGGTCTCGCGCCGTTGCTGGCCTTGTCCCGACCCTGGCTCAACGTCGCACGCAGAAAGCTCTAGGCGTTGGGTTGCTTCAGGGTCTTTATAGAGTCCCTAAGAGTCCATGTACCTATGTAGTGACTTGGGCCTTGAAGTTTTTTGTTCTGGTTTTCGTAGCTTTCGGGCCCAAGTATATACTATATAAAGGTATATAGGTACATGGAGTCTTGAGGGCATCCTACTAGGGTGCCGGGACGTGGAGAGTTTTTGGATGTCAGGTCCCGACGTAAGCTCTGACTTGGTGTAGGGTTTAGGGTTTAGGGTTTAGGGTTTAGGGTTTAGGGTTTAGGGTTTAGGGTTTAGGGTTTAGGTTTAGGGGGTTTGGTTTGCATGGGGGCTGAGGGGTTCGGAATCGCTGGGGGCTCTGGAAGCTAAGAACCAGGAAGCCTTCCTTCAGCTTTCTTTTTTTAGAACATATCGGGGTACCCCTAAAAGCCCTAAGAACCCTAAAAACCCTAAACGCCCTAGAAACCCTAAACACCCAAAAAAACCCTAAACCCAAAACAGTGCATCTTGAGCACCGGATGCCTTACGCCAAGGTCATCGTCGGTGACTTGCAGCATCTGGCTCGTTACAGCCGCGGCCCCGGGCAAAGCTTGGTGAGTTGGGTGTTGATCTATAGCTATGGCCTGCTTTTGGCACCATCGTGCTTTCAGAAAATACAAGGAACCCATGAGATAAGAGACTGACTTTTGACAGGGTTCAGAATATGGGTTGTTTACGATATTGGGGGTACCTTATGGGGGTCCTTAGTATAAGGGGATCCTTCCATTTGGGGCCTGTTTTAGGGCTCCGCGATTTTCGCAAACCACCAGCCCTTGTGTCTCGAGGGTCCCCGGATTTGAGTTCCGCGGTGCTCAAGGTGTGTCGAGCCAAGGGGAGCTCAGAGTGTAACCGGAGCCGGGAACCCCCCCAAAGCCCCTGTGAAGTGCTGTACATCAGGCAAGCTCTTGATGAAATTCAGGGCAAGGGTTTAGGGTTTAGGGTTTAGGGTTTAGGGTTTAGGGTTTAGGGTTTAGGGTTTAGGGTTTAGGGTTTGGGGTTTGGGGTTTGGGGTTTAGGTTTAGGGTTTCGGGTTCAGAGAACCAAGTCCATGCCCACGGCAAGGTGCGGAATGGAAGGAGTTTGTCGCCATCGGCCAGGACGCCGGTTTCGAGTCATCGGTCGTGGCTGCATCTAGCAGGTTCCTCATATTAGGGCCACGTTTCGTGTTCCCATTCTAATCCGGAGCCTCAAAAACAGAGTAGACAAAGAGGTCCTGCCATGCCCCATCCGGCCGTGAATTGGTGCCTGGAGGGAGGTGGCGATTTTTTCCGTTAGAGCTCAGGGTTGCTTAACAGAGGTTATTTGGGATGTCGGGGTGTAGGGTGCAAGTATGAGGCAGCCAACCTAGAAACCTACAGCCCCATAAGCCCTGCAACAGTGAGCCCGCTACAAACCCTGCAAACCCCTCTAAGCTCTACAACTCCTCAACCCTCGGCCCCTCAACCCGCCACTGAAGGAGAAGGATTACCTTCGCGGAGAGCCATTGTGGTCAGAGCCCACTGAGATGCCAACGCCCCGGCTAGTCCGAACACCAGAGGAGGTTCAGGGTTAGTAGGAGACCCTAAGCCCTAAGCCCTAAATCTTAAAGGGTTCAGGCTTTTGGGTGTGTAGGGTTAAGAGGACTGGAGTGGACTTTGTTGAGGGCTTGGAGTTTTTGGCCACCGTTTCTTTGAGCTGCTCGCTCGATGGGGCCTTGTGGGGTGTAGGGTTCAGGGTTCCCTGGAACCCTAAACCCTAAACCCTAAACCCTAAACCCTAAACCCTAAACCCTGAACCCTGAACCCTAAACCCTAAACCCTAAACCCTAAACCCTAAACCCTAAACCCTATACCCTATACCCTAAACCCTGCACCTAGTGTTTAGGGCTCGAGGGCTCCTGACTCCCAGGTCGGTACCTGTCGTGCCGCAGGAGCAGGCGAGGCGCCGAACACACCAGCAACCCTACACTCAGGGAGGGGTATATATTTCTATCAAAAAAGGGGGGTATAAAAAGCTATAAAAAGGGTAAAGGGTAGAGCATAGAACGTAGTACCCTGACTCTTATTCCCCTCTATAATCCCTATATGCCCTATACATACATACTTTATGTAGTCCCTATATACCCAAGTAGCCCTCCTAAACAACCCCTAAACAGCCCCTAAGGTCCCTTATCAAGGTCCCTCCTTTAGTCCCTTGACTACAAGAATATGGGGCAAGCCCTGGATGCTTTTTAAATTCATGACCCGAAGCCCTAAACCTTAACAGCCCTCAGCCCTAGACCCCAACCCTAAACCCTACTCCCCAAGCTACTCCTAAACCCTAAGCCCTAAGCCCTAAGCCCTAAGCCCTAAGCCCTAAACCCTAAACCCTAAACCCTAAACCCTAAACCCTAAACCCTAAACCCTAAACCCTAAACTCTGTAAAAAGCCCTAAACCCTAGCATCAGCTCTGCGAGGCCTCGGCGGCCTGGACCGCACTTACCGCCGAGTGAGCGCTGGGGGCGAAAGAAGAGAGCGGAGTTTAGGGTTTAGGGTTTAGGGTTTAGGGTTTAGGGTTTAGGGTTTAGGGTTTAGGGTTTAGGGCCTCACAGGGTTTAGGGTTTAGGGTTTCGGGTTTAGGATTTAGGGTTTAGGGTTTAGGGTCTAGGGTTTGGGGACCTGGGATTGAAGGGTTGAAGGGCTGAAGGGCTGAAGGGCTGAAGACTTGAGGGTGTGAGGGTTTAGGAGGGTTGAGGGTTCAGGGTCTTAGGCTTGAAGGGTTTCAAGGCTTTACTGGTAGCGTTTAGGGGTTTAGGGGTTTAGGGGCACTCCAAACCCTAAAACCCCAAAACCTCAAAACCCTCAAAAGCCCTCAGGAGCCTTGAAACCCTAAACCCTAAACCCCAAACCCCAAACCCTAAACCCTAAACCCTAAGCCCTAAACCCTAAACCCTAAACCCCCAAAAAGCTGCAGTTTTCTCGGCCCCAGGAAGATGGTTGGGGCCACCCTTTAATCTCAGAACCCATGGCGCTCTCGCGGCTGCGCGGGGCACTGCAGCCGCGGTGGGGGACTCGGTGGGGCCCTCGTGTTTTGGTGCTTCAGGGCTTTCGGGTGTAGGGCTTGGGGCCTTCATGGCCTTCAGGGCCATTAAGGGCCTAGAGGGCCCTTGAGGACCTCGGGGTCTGGGATGGTGGGCTTCAGGGTTCGGTTTTGATTTAGGGTTTTGGGCGCTGAGGGTTCGAAGGTCTTTTTGGGAGGTTGAGGGTTTAGGGTTTAAGGTTTAGGATTTAGGGTTTAAGGTTTAGGGTTTAGGTACTAGTTTAGGCTTTAAGTATCTATTGGAATCCCAGCATTAAGCGCCCTAGCATGCTCAGTATGCTAGTGTAAACCCTGAACCTTCTTTCTTTTAGGTGATTGGGGAAGCCCCCGAAAAGAGCTCAACGCGAGACATTTGAGGGTTGGAGCGGGGTGGCGGGGTTCAGGGTTCAGGGTTCAGGGTTAGGGTTTTGGCAGGGTTTTGGGTTCAGGGTTTAGGGCTTAGGGTTTAGGGTTCAGGGTGTAGGGTTTAGGGGTTGCAGGTTTCCGAACCTCTTCGGGTTTCGGGTTTAGGGTGTTCCCCAACGGAAGCACTCCACAATTACAACGCCCTCAGCCCCCAAAACTTTAAAACCCAAGGAACAGCAAACCCCCAACACCCCTAGCCCCAAGCCACCTCCACCCCCCCTCCCCCCCAACAAAAAAACTAAAACGAAGAAAACAAGAACCGTACCCCTTTCTCCAAAGCCCCTCGAACCCCTCGCCTCGAACCCCTCGCCTCTAAACCCTAAAACGCCCACCCAAGCCCCAACCCCTGAAACCCCTCCTAAACCCCAAACCTCTTTATCATATATAGTTAGTATAAATGTTGATGACTTCAAGGTCATCGCAGTACTGGGTAAGGTCCTAAACGTAGCGGGCAAGGTCCTAAAATTAGTGGGCGCGGTCATCCAAAAACCCTAAACCCGAAACCCTAAACCCGAAACCCTAAACCCTAAACCCTAAACCCTAAACCCGAAACCCGAAACCCGAATGGGTCCTGGTGAGGTCCCGGGTATGGGCCTCCGTCGGCTCCCTGGGCGCGCGGCGCTGTAAGGGCTCGCTGTGGCGTGCCTGGCTAGGGTTTAGGGTTTAGGGTTTGGAGGGTTTGGGGTTTTGGGTTTAGGGTTTGGGGTTGGAGGTTTTTGGGTTTGGGGTTTAGGGTTTGGGTTTGGGGTTTAGGGTTTGGGGGGAGAGCACTTGTCAATACTTTTCAAACCGCTAAGCTGCTAAGCCTTCAAGCCCTGCCTTCGCAGGTTTAGGGTTGATTGGGTTTAGGGTTTAGGGTGTAGGGTCTCGAAAGGGTTGAGGGCTTCAAAGCTTTCGGGTTTGGGGCTTACAGGGATTAGAGTCAGGGTTCTGGTGGGGTTGTATCCTAGGCTCATTTCAGGTGTGTAGCTTGCTCCCATGTACCGGTAAATGTCCTAAGCCTAAACCCCAAACCCTAAACCCTCATCCCTTAACCCTAAACCCTAAACGCCAACCCCCCCTGTCTTCTTCTGGATTATGAAGGTATCCACCTGTAGAAACCCAACTTAGGCTGTAGTCTGCCTTAGCGAACTCAGAATCCGGGTTTCGGGTACCCCAGGCACAGAAGCCCTAAACCCGAAACCCGAAGCCCGACGCGGCGTCGCCAGGAACGAGTATGAGGAAAGAGGAGGCCCATCCTACCTTGACATGCAGGCGGGTTGAGGGTTTAGGGTTTAGGTGGGGGAAGTTCGGGAGCTCCGAACTCTATACCCCAAACCCTAAAAACTAAACACCTAAACCCTAAACCTGTGTGAGTAGGATTGAGGAGCTTAGGCTGTGTGATTCTGCCTTGGGCTTTACTTTGCGAATTTCGAGACTTCCCGGCTTCAGGCTTTGGGGTGTTCGGTGTTTCGTGTGCAGAGTTTAGGGTTTTGGGTTTAGGATTCAGGACTTTGGGTTGGGGGTTTAGGGTTCAGGGTTCAGGGTTTAGGTTTGGGGTTTAACCCTTCAACTAATCAAACGATTGGCACTTCATTCAAGCAAACTCCGAGAAGGACAAAAACCCTTTTGATAAATTAAGTACGGTGTTTGTGAGCGAAAACAATGCACATATTTGAGCTAATTTACTTGATGCTTAAATGTAGAATGAAGCAAAATTAGATCAGGTTTTCTAATAAGTATGTTGTATTCGATGTAGCACACTAAAACATTAGCAAACATTTGATTAATCTCATCATTTCATCTAATTTAGATTCAGTATCAACGAAATAAAGGATGGTAATATAAGTTAGTTCAATGTAGTAAAATCACCCCTGCCGCGCTTTCGCCCACGTGCATGGCAGCGAAAAGCTCTTCTGGCACGTGTCCGGAAATGCGATGCAGAAAAGCTAACTTTTGCAGTAAAACCTAGGCCCCGGGAGGGGGGGGGGCATATATACATATATATATATATATGTATACATATATATATATATATATATATACGTATACACATTATGTTATTTGCTATAGATTATTTTACATGTTTTATGTTACATAGACCCTAGACTCTAAACCCTAAACCCTGAACCCTAAGGAATCAGGGCTTGAGGTTTGGGGTTTTTCGGGTTTAGGGTTCAGGGTATGTAGTACAGGCCCGAATCCGCGGCTTGCGCTCAAAGCTGTGTGTGGGGCTTCGGGGAAGGAGTCGTACCCCAAACCCGTTGTATGCCCTAAATTCACTAAACCCTTACACCTTCAGGGTTTAGGGCTTAGGGGGTGTAGGTCTTATAGGCTTTATAGGGTTTATAGGGTTTATAGGGTTCATAGCGTTCATAGCGTTCATAGGGTTCATAGGGTTCATAGGGTCCGAGCCCCAGGCAACGACGCCAGTGGATCCGCGAGTGTTGGACGCGATGTCCGGAGCTTGGCCAAAGGGGGCCGTGGTAGCACATGACTTCACGGTATTGTTCGAAACCAGTCGCTCTGAAACCCCGGAGGCCCTAAACCCAACATGGCGGCCGTATCTTATTCTGGGTACTGGTACCATTGCAGAATTAGAAGCCCTTGTGAACAAAGATGCGGCCAAGATGCCCTCATTAACCAGGAAGGTACAACGCGACCACTTCCCCCGTTCCCTAAACCCTAAACCCTGAACCCGAAGCCCTAAACCTTCTCTACCTACGAATATTTCAGCTCCTCTGGACCCTTTCGAATCGCCCTAGACCCTAAACCCCAAACCCCAAACCTTAAACCCGAAACCTCGATTCCTCATCCTGGAGAGCTCTCCGCTGAGGCTGCCCTACTACCACGGCCGCTTTGGCAATCCACACAGCCGGAGTCACTCCTACGGTGCGACTGGGTGCAGGGTTTCGTTTTTAATTTCTAGGGAATAGGTCTTATGGTTTTCTGGTTTCTTGAGGGGGTTTAGGGGTTGTACGGGCTTTTCGGATTCGGGTCTTAGTTTTAGGGGTTTAGGCTGGTGTTTAGGTTTGGGGCGTTTAGGAGTTCAGAAAGGGGCTTTGGGTTTCCAGGAACTGTGACGTTTAGAGTTTTGCATTAGGGTTCTATGTGCGTTAGGGTTTGTGGCTTGGGACCTCGGGTTTTGTATGGGTGTAGGGGACGTTGGAGTTTAGGCTTTCGGTTTCGTCCTTGAGGGTCTGAGGGCTGGGGGCCAAGCGAAGGGCTCTGGGGGGTCCTGAAGCCAAGCCCCAAAGCCGACTAAGCCCGAAACCTTGCCATGGAACCCAAACCCTCTCGTGTGCCATAGAGGTTGGGTTTAGTGTGGTGGCACGTCTTGGTACTTAGAGGGCGCCTGATGTTTTTGGTTCTAGTGCCAAGGGACCCTAAACCCTAAGCCCTAAACCTTCAGCTCCTAAACCCTAAACCCCCCAAGTCCCGAAACCCCCCCCCCCCCCCCCAAAACTCCTTATACAGCCCCGTACCCACCCTAGACCCCAAACCCTAAACCCTAAACCCTAAACCCTAAACCCTGAACCCCAGACCCTAGACCCTAAACCCGAAACCCTAAACCCTAAACCCTAGACCCTAGACCCTAAACCCTAAACCCTAAACCCTAAACCCTAAGCCCGAACCTTAAGACCTAAACCCCCCAGCAACCCCGAATCGGGAGGCTGGGATGCAGAGGAGGCCACTGAGAAGGCTGGGGGGGGGGGGGGGGCGGGGGTCTTCCGGGCTGAGGGACTTGCAGGTTGGTGGTTTATCCGTGTAAAGGGGGTTTGGGGGCTTGATTAAGGATAGATAAGAGCTGGGATTCCCTTTGGTATGCCTTTTGGGGTATGGGGATAAGGATGTTCCAACTTTTTGGGGTTTACTGTAGGGGTCTAGGGTTTAGGGTGTCTGCTTACAAGGGTTTATATTGAGTTTCGGAGTTCTGACCTACTACCCGAAAACCTCATTCTTGCCCTAAATCTCCCTTTGTCGAGGCACGCGTTCAGATCGCCAACCTGATCAACGCCGATCCCAAGGCTGCAGTGCTTCTTTCGGGTTCTGATGGGGTTTATTCTTGTTCGGGTTTAGGGTTTAGGTTTCTAAGGTCTGAGACATGGGTGGGGGGGGGGGGGGCAATTTTGTGGCACCTAAACACTGAACCGGCCGAAGTTTATTCAGAACTCTTGGCCCCCAACCTGAACTCAGGGTTTAGGGTTTAGGGTTTAGGGTTTAGGGTTTAGGGAAGTCCCCAACCCTAAGCCTTAGAACCAAGAGCCTTTAAACCCGCGCGAGGAGATCTTCTTCACTTCAGGCGCCACAGAGCGGGGGCCTGAGCTTCTCAGGGTTTTAGGGTTTAGGGTTTAGGGTTTGGGGTTTAGGGTTTAGGGTACTCATAGGGCTTATGGGAATTTGGAGAGTTGTAAGGCTTTTAGGGTTTAGGGTTTGGGGTTTAGGGTTTAGGGTACTCATAGGGCTTATGGGAATTTGGAGAGTTTTCAGGGTTTTAGGGTTTAGGGTTTGGGGTTTAGGGTGTGGGGTTCGGGTTTAGGAGGCGTTTACGCTTGGCTGCCTTGATCCTGCAGATCGGCTTCTGGGGGGCCCTTGGAGTGAAAGGGGCTGCGGGCTTGAGGTTTAGGGTTTAGGGTTTAGGGTTTAGGGTTTAGGGTTTAGGGTTTAGGGTTTAGGGTTTAGGGTTTAGGGTTTAGGGTTTAGGGTTTAGGATGCTTGCAGTTTGGTTTAGGGCTTGCAGGATCTCACTTTGTCGCTTTGTCAGCGTGCGAGTGGGTGCTAGGGTGGCTGGCATTCCCTTAATCCGGACCTCAAATCTCACACCAGTCGGTGCTCCGTTGGCCTACCACTCTCACTTTGCTACTGGATCCACAATGTCTCGAGTTTGGGGTTTTTGGATCTTGAGTTTTGGGCTTTGGGCGGTTGCGAAAATGCACGAGCCATCTTGCAGGGGTGTTTTGGGCACCGGAATCGAGTTGGGCTACCCTGAGCCCCTAAGCCCCTAAGCCCCTAAGCCCCTAAGCCCCTAAGCCCCTAAGCCCCTAAGCCCCTAAGCCCTGTTTGCAGCGTTTGCAGTCAGCTGCCCCAAGCCCCAAGCCCCAAGCCCCAAGCCCCAAGCCCCAAACCCCAAACCCTAAACCCTAAACCCTAAACCCTAAACCCTAAACCCTAAACCCGAAACCCGAAACCCGAAACCAGGTCCAACAACATGGCAGTGAAGGGCGTTGCGGAGTTCTACGAAGGCACCGGCAAGAAGCACATCATCACCACGCAGACTGAGCGGGGAAGCTCAGAGACCAGGGTTTAGGGTTTAGGGTTTAGGGTTTAGGGTTTAGGGTTTAGGCTTTAGGGTGTTTAGGGTTTAGGGCTTAGGGCTTAGGGCTTAGGGCTTAGGGCTTAGGGCTTAGGGCTTGGGGTTTCGGGCTTGGGGTTTCGGGCTTGGGGTTTAGGGGGGGTGTAGGGTTTAGGGGCAGACGTCTAACCCTGCAGGTATGTTCCTATCCGTGACTGGGCCTCGACCCCCAGGGTGCCAGGGTTTAGGGTTTAGGGTTTGGGGTTTAGGGTTTAGGGTTTAGGGTTAGTAGCCCAGCGGCACCCTTTCCTGTTTTTGGTCCAAGGTTCCCTAACAAAGCGCCCAACCCCCAAGTTGGCACCCTTCTGAAAATGTGGTCAATGGGCTACCCAGACTTGTAAACCCAGTTAAACACACATTGGCTTGGGGCTTCATTCAGGGTTTAAAGTCGAGAGTCCTTAAAACCCTTGAATATGTTACAACGCGGTTTAGGGTTTAGGGTTAAGGGTTAAGGGTTTAGGGTTTAGGGTTTAGGGTTTAGGGTAAACCCTATGAACCCTCATAAATTTAAACCCTACACACCCCATATAAGCCCTATGAGTCCCCTAAACCCTAAACCCTGAACCCTCAACCCTCAACCCTGAACCCTGAACCCTCAACCCTCAACCCTCAACCCTCAACCCTAAACCCTAGAACCCTAAAACCCTAAAGCCCTTAACCCTCAAGAAGCCCTAGGCCAAACTCTGCAAACTCTCAGGCACAAGTGCGTCTTGGCCTCTTGCCGCCGCCTCGAGGTGGACAAGGGGTGGCCTCGCCGCCGCGATTGGCAATCAAGTTAGGGTTTAGGGTTTAGGGTTCAGGGTTCAGGGTTTAGGGTTTAGGGTTTAGGGTTTAGGGTTTAGGGTTTAGGGTTTAGGGTTTAGGGTTTAGAGTTTAGGGTTTAGGGTTTAGGGTTTAGGCGTTTGCGGGGCTTGGGGGTTAGGGGTTTAGGGTTGAGGTTTTGGGGTTTGGGGACTTGGGCTTTGGAGTTTGGGATTGAGATTCCAGGGTGTAGGTCATTGAGAGTTTGGGGGCTTACTGTTTGGGGTTAGGGGGTCAGGGGTTGAACAAGGGGTGGGTCGGGGCTTGGGGCTGGGTCAGGTTAGTGGACGGCAGGGTTGAGGAGGGTTGCCCAAGTCCTCTTGGCGCCTTTCGCAGACAAGGCGACCCTGGAGGCAATGCTCGGGGCTTCAAACAGCTTCATGCAGCTTGCGCGCTGGAGACACTGGCGCTTCGAAAGCTGGAAGGCGGCGCAGAGTGGAAGATGAGACGCGGCGTCCTGGGGCGCGTTGACTGTAGTGCCGTTGCTTCAACACGCCCGGTCGTGCCCGCTCGATTGCAGCATCCTCGGCGCAGCCCGGGATGTTGTGGGGAGGGAGGTGGGGTGGCACCAACTGCCAAGCAAGACATATCCCCACACCTACGACACCAAGCCCCCGAACCCCTGTCACAACCCAAAGCCCTACACCCTAAACTCCAAACTCTAAGCACCACAAGGCCATGACCCGAGACTCGAGGGATCTTCAAGAAATGGTACCCTGAAGCCTGGGATATGGTTCAGGGTTCAGGTTTTTTGGGGGTTTTAATGCCCCCAACACTAAACCTTGCTTACAGCTACAGGAGTGTGACCTACCTGCCTGTGGACAAGTACGGGCTCGTTGATCTCAAGGTCCCTCCAAGCGTTTTCGGGATTTTGGCATGACCCAGACCCGGGCCCATGTGGGATTCAAGATGGCGTGGTCCAGGGATTCTAAGGGTCTTAAGGGTTCAGGGTCGAGCATGTTCCCTTTAGGGTTCGGGGTTTACGGCTAAGGGCTTAGGCCCTAGACGAAGACCCTGTGTTGCCACAAGTGTTGAACACGGAGGCAGGGACTGCTCGTCAGCGCTAAATGAACTTCCGAAGCAACCTGCATCTAACCTTGCCCAACCTCACTAAACCCTAAGCCTAAGCCCCAAAGCCGAAGCCCTAAACCCTAAAACCCTAAAACCCCAAACCCCAAACCCTAAACCCTAAACCCTAAACCCTAAACCCTAAACCCTAAACCCTAAACCCTAAACCCTAAACCCCAAACCCTGAACCCTGAACCCTGAACCCTCCACCTCCCAGAAGGTTGCTTCTTGCCAAGCTTCCCACCCCGAGCTGCGAGCTTAAACCCTAAACCCTAAACCTTAAACCCTAAACCCTAAACCTTAAACCCTAAACCCTAAACCCTAAACCCTAAACCTTAAACCCTAAACCCTAAACCCTAAACCCTAAACCCTAAACCCTAAACCCTAAACCCTAAACCCTAAACCCTAAACCCTAAACCCTAAACCCCAAACCCCAAACCCTAAACCCTAAACCTTCATTCCCTCAGTCCTGCCAAGAACCAGCCAGTAGGAGCTCGAAGATGCCATTCGCGACGACACGGCGCTGGCATCCGACTTGGCCGACAAGAGCGGGGTTTGGATGGGTTTAGGGTTTAGGGTTTAGGGTTTAGGGTTTAGGGTTTAGGGTTTAGGGTTTAGGGTTTAGGGTTTAGGGTTTAGGGTTTAGGGTTTAGGGTTTAGGATTGAGTTCAGGGTTCAGGGGAGGTTTCTCTCGCAAGATGTTTCGCCAAATCTTTGCAGGGTTTCAGCTTTTTGTTTTACGGATGTTGAAGGCCTAGGCCCTAAACCCTAAACCCTAAACCCTAAACCCTCAACCCTAAACCCTAAACCCTCAGGGTGTATGGTTGAGGGCTTTCGGGTTGTCGAGGCTGATCTACGTTAGGAGGGGCAGGCTGGAGCACACAGCACCTACAGGCTAAGTATGTATGTTCGGCTACTGTACCCCTCGCGCTTGGCATACTAAACCCCCAAACCCGTAAACAACAAGATTCCACAAAGCCCAAGACTAACTTGCCCAAAAAGCACCAAGCTCAGATGCACTGTGGTACCTTCATTTTCCTTTTTGGTGGGAACCAGACCAGGCTTCTCATACAATACTGACAATTGCCCTTTCCAGTCATAGGTTTCGGATTCAGGCTTTAGGTTTTTAGGTTGCCCTAGACCCTAAACCCTAAACCCTAAACCCGAAACCCGAAACCCAAAGCCTAAACCCTAAACCCGAAACCCTAAACCCAAAACCTAAACTCGGGGGTGTAACCCTGGTTTCGAAGGTCTCGGTGATGCACATCAACAACGAGATCGGCACCATGCAGCCGGTCGAGGAGATCGGGCAAATATGCCAGAAGAAGAAGGCAGGACGGGTTTCGGGTTTCGGGTTTCGGGTTTAGGGTTTAGGGTTTAGGGTTTCGGGTTTCGGGTTTCGGGTTTAGGGTTAGGGCGGCGCGAAACCTGTTTCTTCAACCCCCTAAGCTCTCATCAGGTTTGGGGTGGGGGAGGGGGCGGCAAGGAGAGTGCTGTCTACCTGGGCCTTGCAACCCTGAACGCCCAACCCTATCCTAAACTTGCGAGCTTGAAAGGTCCTGTTTCACACCGATGCTGCGCAGAGTGTGGGAAAGGCGCCCAGGGGGTTTACTTGTAAGCCCAAGCCCGCAAGAGAAAGAATTGCAACCCTGGGCCCTGAGGATCGGCATGCAAAACTCAAGACCCCAACCCACATCCTAGGCGAGGGGAGGATCCGTGGTGAAAGGAAATGTGTGATGCTACAGGGTGGCCCTAAACCCTAGATTCGCGCTTCAGGTTGGGGGTTCTGGGTTGAAACTCGAGCGGTTTTGAGGTATATGAATATGAAGCCTAGACCTCATGCGGGAGGCTCTTTTGCCTAAGTTTCTATGTTATGCTGGTACCCTTCACCCCTAAGCGCCTAACCCCGCAAACCAACCTGTTATCCACCCTAAACCCCAACCCTCAAACCGAGTGCAAACCCCTAAACCACCAAGCCCTAAACCCTAAGCCCAAGAGGTGTTGGGCCAGAGCCCCTGCACACAACCCTTAGACTCTTCAACCCAAAGTCCTCAGCCTTCAGCCCCAACCCTGAGCCCTAAGCCTTAAATCCCTAAACCCTAAGCCCTAAGCTTTGGGGGTTTGGGGTTCAGGGTTCAGGGTTTACGGTTGAGGGTTTATGGTTTAGGTGGAACACAAGACACTAGACCCTAAACCCAAAGGAGCGAGGGCTTAGTAGGGCTGAAGAAACCGAGCTCGGGAGAAATTTCCGGGATCTTGCGGGAGGGTTTGTAAAGGACGCTGCGTGCATTTTCGAAAGTCCGAAGCCCTACTTGGGGTAGGGTTTAGGGTTTGGGGTTTGGGGTTTAGGGTTTAGGGTTTAGGGTTTCGGGTTTCAGGTTTAAGACGCGGCTAACCTCTCAGTGCCAGGTGCCGGTGGATGTGAAGAAGATGAACGCAGCCCTTCTGCCACTTTCCTCGCAGCCCAACCCAGGACCCCTAAACCCTAAACTAAACCCTAAACCCTAAACCCTAAATCCTAAACCCTCAACCCTAAACCCTAAACCCTCAACCCTAAACCCTAAACCCTAAACCCCAAACCCCAGACCTTACCCAAACCTCAAACACTCCAATCGGCTAACGAGGGTCCCTGTACCGCCCTCAACCCCCCCCCCCTTCACCAAATATTCCCAAACTACTGGAGTTCAGGGTTTAGTTGCCTAGGCTTTCGGGTCTCAATGTTTGGGGCAGCTCAAACGCAGGTGTACGAAAATAGGGGAGCCCTTAGATAGACCCCCAAAATAGCAGATCCCTTATAGTAAGGACCCTAAGAAGGTAGGCCTAATTTCGGAAACGCCCAAGTCGACCTGACTCCTGGGGCTCTCCAATTCTTGGGGGTTTAGGGTTTAGGGTTTAGGGTTTAGGGTTTAGGGTTTAGGGCCTCAAAAGCGTGTTGAGGTCCATCTCCGCCCACAAGATGTACGGGCCGAAGGGTGTGGGTGCCCTGTACGTCCGACGCAAGCCGCGCGCGGGGCGCCGAGATCCACCGAAATGGAGCCGAAGGGAAACCCCCGTATGGCTAGGTGTTCCCCCCGGAGTGGCGATCCTATTTTGGGTACTACCATACCCGAACCCTAAACTCTAAACCCTAAACCCGTGTTCTTTGCTGATTTGCGATCCTATTTTGTGTACTACCATACTCAAACCCTAAACCCTAAACCCTGAACCCTGAACCCTAAACCCTGAACCCTAAACCCCAAACCCACCCCCCAAACCCTAAACCCCAAGCCCCACCCCGGTGACACCTGGCGCGCCTGCAAGGTGAGGCTTCGCGCTGTGATCGATGGCGGCGGCCAGGACCAGGGTTTAGGGTTTTGTGGGCTTCAGCTTTTCTGGTTTATTTCGGTTTTGGGCTTAGGGTTTACGGTTTAGGGCTTTGCAGAACCACTACATCTCCTCCCACTTCTTCAAGCACCCTGAGCCCTACACCCTTCACGCAGGTACTTTTTTGTGGGGGTGGAGTTGAACGTTTGGAAACCCTATGCAGGGTTTAGGGTTTAGGGTTTAGGGTTTAGGGTTTAGGATCATGCTGCGTCGGGTTACTTGGCGTTCCACTCTGTAGGATTGGAGATGCATCTGTGACCAGCCATCATACCAAGAAAAGATCTGGGCCGGCGTAAGGGTTATGGGTCAACCCTAACCCCTAAACCCCTAAACCCCTAAACCCCTAAACCCCTAAACCCCTAAACCCCTAAACCCCTAAACCCCTAAACCCCTAAACCCCTAAACCCCTAACACCCTAAACCCTAACCCCCTGACCCCTGACCTCCTAACCCCCTAACCTCTAACCCCCTAACCCTTAAACCCTAAACCCTAAACCTCTCAACTCTCAAATCTCAACTCTCAACTCTCAACTCTCGAAGGAGCGTGGCTTCCGCAGTGGGACACTGGCCACCCCCACCATCGTCGGCTTCGGGGCGGCCGCCGAGGCGGGTGGGGTTTCGGGTTTGGGGGCGTAGGGCTCCGGGTTCAAAAGGGTTTAGGGATTTAAAGGTCTTACTCTTAAGTCTAGACGCGAAATTGTACACCCTAAGTCCCTAATGTGTAGTTTTCGGAATTTCCGGGAGCGTGCAGAAGGTTTTCTGTTGCTGTTCTTTACCGTTTCCATTTTGAATTAGTATCTTCGTTGCGACCATGACAGTCATTCTCAATGCCAGTGTCACTATTATCCTTGTTACCCTTGTTACCATGTTCATTGCTCGTTGCTATCCTGTCGCCATTTGAAGTGTTATCCTTGGCATGAATCATATCTAATTATGCATATGATCATTCTTATCAATAGTATCATGACCACCATTGTTATCATCATGATTCTCATGATTGTGATTATTCTTATTCTCATCCTTTTTGCCTTGGTAAATTTTAATTGTTATCAATGTTGTCATTCCATACCATCATTTTCATCAACAGGATCATCGTTATCATTGTTATCATTTTGTTTTTTCTTGCATCTCTTTCAACATCATTGGCATTGTCATCATTGCCGTCATCACTGTCGTTCTTGTCATCATATGCCTACTTTCTGCTACAAGTGGCTCATGTGCTCTTGGGGCCTTGTCTACCGGCGCGATGCAACAGCGGCTCGACTCGACAACGAGTGATTATGTACTGAAGGCGGCTGTCATCCCTGTAGCATCTGCGTCTTTGCCTCAATCCGACAGCCTTATCTGGGCAGTCCCCAAAATGGGTACCCCGAATATCCCCCAAAGCACTGAGATCTGTAGTATAGGAACCCCCCCAACAAGGGCATCCCTGTTTTCGGAACCTCCCATTCTTGTAGTTTTTCATGGAGGAATTACACTCCTTTTGCGAGCTGTGCATACTATCGCTTTACCCTTGACTGTGGCTCAAGTTGCCGATAAAAAGAGGCGTACTTAACGGTTTATTTGTTCCCTCATGTGCTGACCTGAAAACTTCAGGTTATCAGCCGTAGAGTCTCACACGATGGCTCTGCAGCTGCAAGATGGGACCATTGATCCCAATGCGCAACATGATCAGACTGCAACAACCAACTACCAACAGTTCAACCAGTACCGGGTACAGCAGCAGCTGATCATCGTGCAACAAAACGAGGATGCAGAGCGAGTTCGTATCGAAGCCGAACGCAGACATGCGGAAATCCTGGACATGGCTACAAGACAGGCCCGTGCAGAAATGGGAGAACTCGAGCAACACGCTGATGCCCAACATCGCGCACGGATTGAAGTCATCAGTGACCGCATGGACTTTGTGGTTCGTGAGCTACAACAACAACTACTGGAGACCAAGGCAGCACTAAGAGGTCGAACGGCGGAGCTTGACCAAGCCGCACAGGACGCACACACACTCAGGATGCACAATCTCGAGCTTGAGGCACGAGGTAACATGGTTCTCGAATCGGAAACTCGCCTCAGGACCCATCTCGAACAGAGTGAATTTTCCCTTGCTAACCTCAGGGTTGTGTACGATCAAAACAGGGAAACCCAGCTGGAATTCTTAGGCAACGAATTTAGAGAGCAAATGCAGTATGAAGAGAACATGTTCACATATGCCATGCATGAAGAAGAGAGTGCATGTGATGTCTTGATTCAGGAGTTGGCTGAGTCGAACCAGCGTTTGATGGTTGAGCTTGATGAGGCTAAGGCAACCGCTACAGCGTCATCTAGCCTGCCGAAAGGTGGTGCCGAGCACCAGCAGGCTGTTCCCATGGCCTCAGCACCTCCACCGGGTTTGAACACTGCCGAAGCAAGCCCCCCGCAAGGGGGTGCCGCATGCGGTAATGCACATGTCACGCATGCTGATTTGCCAAATCCGTTGCAGATTCCAGAGAGCATGAAGGGTCTCTTTGAGAGACGACCCCAGAGGTTTAATCTGGGGGCATCTACTCCTGTTTCGCAGGCCCCTAATGAAGTGCATGAAGCGATTGCAAAAGCGCTCAAGGACTTTGCTACCAAGGATGAGACGAAACCTAAGACTAAGGAAGCCGAGACAGTGAAACTTCCGGATTTTCCCTCAGCGGAGACGTACAGATCATGGAAGACGGCAGTGCGTGAGGCTGTTCGAGCAGCATCTGATCACCCTGATGAAGCATTTGCGTGGATTCAGCAGGTGTACGCAAAGGGTGCTTCGCTAGATAGCCTCAACGATGTAGGGAAATTCCTCACGCTAGACACCAAAATCCTTGCAGCATTGTCTAGGGTGGCGAAGGGCGAGCTTGCGAGACAAATACTCAACTACAAGGAGACGGAGGCCACCTGTGGTAGAGCAGTGAGAGGTAGGCAAGTGCTGTTAATGTTTGAAGCCTACTTTAAAACCAACGAAGAAGTTGGCTCCCTCTACTCGGTCGAAGACCTCTTGAAAGTGGCACTGATCAATGATGACCTCGCTACCTTCGTGCATAACTGGGATTCAGTGATTGCTGGACTGTCGCATCCTCCAGACGAAACCACTTTGCGAGACATATTCCTTCGTGAGCTTCGCAAGTCCCATCGTTTGAAGTATGATCTCGACATTTACGATCGGGCTCGTGAGGGGACCCCTGAGCACACCTACAAGTTCCTCATGGAAAGCATCAAGAATCTCCTCACACGAGAACGAATTAGGAAGAACAGGGACAAGATTGCTAAGGCCCATGGCGCAAAGTATGGTGCACCTGCCCCTCCTACCCCTGCGAAGCCGTCGGCGCCCGCTCCCTCGGAGCGACGACAGCCATCCAGAGGACGTCAGGGTAGGCAGGTTTGCATGTTGTTTCAGAAGGGTAAGTGTAAGTTTGGGGAGCGTTGCAAGTATGAACACACGAAAGACCCCAAAGCATCCTCAAGGGAGAGATCTCCCAACCGGCCTAAGTCAGGTTCTCGCGAGAGAGAGAAGAGCAACAGCAAAGATACCTCCAATATCCCATGCGTATTTTATGCCAAGGGTACTTGCAGGAATGGGGACAAATGCAAGTTCTTGCACAAGGACAAGTCCGCATCGCCCTCTGTCCCGGCCAAGGCTAAGGCACGTGCACCCTCCCCGGCTAAGCGAAGGCCGAGCCGGAAGAAGAGGACAGAAGCTAAAGCAGCTGCCTGTTGCGTGTACGCCTTAGCCGCCCGAAAGGGTGAGCCGGATGGTAGGCATGCAGACACATGGCGTCTTGATGAGAAGTCACTCACGCTGTCTAGGGAACATGTTGTTCTGAGAAACAACTATTTTATTCCCCAAAGCTGCCCCGTTCCAGCATGGAGAATCAAGTCTGTTGCGAGCATCACCATGAAGCTGAAAACCGGCGAAGAGCGAACGTTACAGTACAATTGGAAAACGTGCGACAAGCAAGCACCTCTGCCCAATTGGACGGGCGTTACGAGTTTCAAGCTGAAGCCCAAAGACATGAGTGTGTGTTTTGAAAGGCACCCTGAGATACACCCAGTTGAAAGCGTCGGAGATGGTTGGAAATTTGTTCCCCATAAGCGCAAATGTGTGGCAAGGTTCAAAACCAACGCTGATTGCCCTATGTCCGACCCTGGTGATCTTCAGTGTGCAGTCATCAACGCACAAAATCTTGAGGCCTCAGTGTACTCGGAACTCCATGGTGAAAAGACAAAATGCAAGCATCGCTGCTGCAAGCCTGATTTCGCTTGTCGGCATTGTGCAGCAGGAAATGTAATGTCAGGAACTGCCGCTCCAGCGCGCAAGGAACTTCAGAGCTTGGACATCATTGCCGATACGGGAAGTGAAGAGGACCTTATCAGCTCTTCGGACTTGAGAAAGTGTTTCGAAGGGGTCGGTAGAAAAGTCGACGCAACGCCAGTCAACCTTCACACGGCCAATGGCATCGTGGAGGCATCGTCCAGGACAGAAGTCGAGGTTCCGTCAATGAATGGCAGCCTGGAATTCGTGGAACTCCCGGATACCCCACCGGTTTGCTCTGTGGGAAAGAAGTGCATGCAGCAAGGGTACGGTTTTTACTGGCCTCCAGGGCAAGTTCCGTACTTCGTGAAGCCCGATGGCCAGAAGCTCACTTGCACGCTACGGGGGAATGTTCCAGTGTTCAGCAGTATTGGGAATGATTCCGGACACCCAGCTGCTGTAGCGCATCGCGATGAAGGTGAACGAATGGCGCCCACCTGCTCCTTGCAGCAGGATTTTCACGCATAAGCTGCCCGAAAGGGCATGCCGCAGCAGCCGGACCACTTCCAGGAGCTCCAGACGGTGTAGTCCCGGTACCTGCGGCGGACGAGGGAGATCATCCACCATGGCTGGCAGAGATCCTAACCAAGGATCCCCCTCTTGAAGGCATGAAGAAAGAGCAACTGTTGAAGGCTGGATGGGTTACTGTGAATGGTGATCCCCACGTCAAGGTTGCCCATAACCCAAAGACCTTCAGAACACCTGCACCTCGCTACCCCAAGTATCGAATTCGTTCCACCTGGGGATACAAAGATGGCGAGTGGAATCAGCTGGAGAACAAGGTCAACATGGACGAGCTCGACGCCGTCTACGGGAAGGTACCTGAGGGTACCGACATGACCATCACTGTCTTTACCATGCCTGATGGCGGTGAAGATGTGCCCGATAGCGACGTTGAGGCCCACATTCCAAAGTCGAAGAAGGACGAGGCGTCT